CGCCTTCACGCCATTGGCCGTTCTATAGCCAATGGGCTCGCAGCAACGCTTCCACCCGCCGCGTCAGAGGAGTCTGCCTTCCGCGTCCAAAGCGGCAAAAGATCTAGCTACCGTTGGAATCCCGTGTAGAAATTCAGCCAGCTCCGATTGACTGACAAATAGTGAGCTAAATACCATGCTATATATATAAACTGTGCAAACCAGCTAACGAATTAGATAGGATTACGAGTAGAATTTCAGGTTTTTAGATACATAAACTACAGTTATGCTAGTAATGGACTGACTCTCTCTCTCCCCACTTCCAGTCTGTATAGTTGCATTGTGTCCTGCTACCATGATGTCCCCCAAGGCAAGGGGTTGACAACAATGATGTAAATACTGTATGTCTATCTATGTTTAATAAAGCTGAATTGTTGGTTGATATCAGTTGATTTGACTTGAGTTGTCTCTTACATTTACATTTACGTCATTTACTAAACTTCCTGGTATGGGTTTTGAATATATTAATACTTTGATTATCTGCCAATCAGCTGCCCCATATGTCTTCCCCTCAGAAATACACTTATTGTGAGACTTGTGTGGGAAGAAACTTATTGGAGAGAGATAGAGGTATGTGAAGTCTCAGTGACTGATGAAAATAGTTAGAAAATATGATTGTGGTTGGTTCTCAACTGGTTTTGCTCGGGGACCCAAAATAGACAGACAATTGAGTCGCGACCCAATATTATGGACTGTTGATGATTACATTTTATAAAGTTGCACATTACCATGTGAATAGTTTCAAAAACCGAATCCAGTCATCTTGTCTCCTGTTCTCCTCCGGGAAGTAGTTGCAAAACCTTCCCTGCAGCTTAACAAGATGCTGTTTAACTGTATTTTTTAGTGTGTCGCTGTGCACTTTGTTGATCAGATTCTGAATCTCGAAATCAGCATTGGGAAACAATCCTTCCGTTAGAAACATGATTTGGCCAAACGGTAAGCTTCATCGTGAAGGTATCCTCTTTGTCCCTCTGTTAAAATCCATTGTGCCCCCGTCCCTTGCTTTGACACATCGAGCGAATTCAGGCAACCTTCGCGAGCCATTCCTCACAACCGAAAGAAACGCAGCAATCTCCGCTTGAAGCTCATAAAAGCGACCCAACAATGTACCTCTGGATATCCAGCGGACCTCTGCATGATAAAGCACCTGCTGGTGCTCACTCCCCATATCCCTCCAGAAGGCCTGGAAACACCTGCTTTTCGTGGAACTCTTTTTGATATAGTTGACACACTTGATCACATCCTGGAGAGTGGCGTGGAGCTCAGGTACCATGTCTTTCGCTGCCAATGCCTCCCTGCGTAGGAAGCAGTGGTTCCACGTCGCACTCGATGCTCTCTCCAGGATCCACTTTACTACTCCGGAGTGCTTTCCCTGCCCCATCAGTGGTCACACCGACGCACCCATCCCAGGCCAGTCCCACGGAGCTCAGGTACATATCCATTGTGTTAAAAGACAGCCTCTGCGGTGGTGGTGGTGGACAAATCAGCACTAAAAAGGAACTGCTCCTCGAAGTTATTATTCCAGACGTGTCTGACATAGACCATTAGAATTGCTGGTTAGCCACTATAGGTATTTTTCCATTACATATATTATAAAATCATTTAACAATAAGCAGAATCGTTATGGGTTTAAAAAATGATTAGTAACTACACATGTCTATGATGTATGAAACATATTTTGAAACATATGATGTGTGAAACATATTTTGTAATCCAGATGCATGACTGGACAACCACATTGTGACTGCAGTAATCAATGTACTATATAATTATCATCAGTTGTGTATGTATATTATTTTTAAAGGATCTGTTTATCACGCCACCAATAGAGTCAGGCAAGAGGACGGGAAACCAAGCAGACATGGGCATAGACAGGAAAGAGGCTAGACAAAGAAACCATAGTGGCTCAAGGTCAAGGGAGGGTGGCTGTTTGGATAAAGAGGGGGTTCCGATATGATATGAAAAGATGAAGCTGTATAAAAAGAGAGCTCCAAGTCTGGGACTGGCAGTTGCTCTGCAGACCAGCTCCGCTTTATTGCTTGTGTAATAAAGTCTATCTTGATTCTACAAAACTCTGAAAGTGCTTTATTTTTAAATGAGGATAAGGAGGATTTTCCACAACACCACATCTGTGGATTCATCAAACTGCAGTGCGTAATGGCCATTTGCACTGATGCTCTCTGATGTCTGGCGCGTTATATCCTCAGACATGTCCTGGATTCTCCTCCTCATTGTATCATTGGATAGGGGTATGGTTTTAAGTTTGTTGGCGGCTGACTCCCCAAGATTTCAGTGCACATATCATTCGCAGCAGGGAGTATGAGATCCTCTGCGCTGGTGTGGGCTTTTTTGCACTTAGCAATGCGCTGGGCCACAAGGACGGGTATGATGCGCGAAGTGACTTTTCTTCAATGAATCTTGTGAGGTCTCCAGATATTGACATTTTCTTTTTACAAAGTCAGCTGTCTTATCTTTGTGGCTTGGATGCTTGGTGTCCAGATGCCTTTTCATTTAGGAAGGTTTCATGCTCTCATTAGCTAACAGCTCGTTGCATAGTACACACTGCGGTCTACACTCACTTCACAGCAGTAGATTACGTTTTTAAAAACTTTTCCATGATTTTACTCTGACAGCTAGCCTACATGAGTTAAATGACAGCTAACTATTGTCGTAGTAAATATATAATGTTATAGCTTGGTCTGACTAAAATCTTGTGCATAACCCATCTTGTGTTGGGCCTTTGGATTTAATACAATGCACAAAGACTTCTATCTTGTCGGCCTTATCAGCAGGTGGCTATGGACAACACCCACGCCATAGGTCTCTCAGTTCTCCCAACTCACGAGTTATTGCTCTGAGGACATACACACACACACACCCCCACACACACACACACATACACACACACACACACACACACACACACACACACACACACACACACACATCATCATTGTTAAACATACACACACATACACACACACACACACATACACACACACACACACACACACACACATACACACACGCACACACACACACACACACATCATCATTGTTAAGCACACACACACACAAAAAACCCCTTCTCTTAGGCTGAACATCTGAAGACAGAGAACCCGACTCAGAGCTAATGCAATGGAGGTGACCTCGACCAACTCATCAGGACCAATCAGAAGATCAGAACTACTAGAATCAACCTACTTTATTTTATTGTATAAAATGTCAGCACACAATGTTTAGGGGCTCGCTCTCTCAGATATCTCCCTACGAGGTTGACGAACGGGTCCGTGCACGCGATTTACAGATATCTTTACCTCTGAATAAACTGCCTTATATTATACAATTATCCACCTTGTCCGAAAGTCTCTACTTGGTCTCCGTTCTCCAGTAAACTTGTGATCATCAACACTATCCACATGTGCAATGCCTGCAGAACACATCTGCATAGATAGCTGTCAATCAAGCTAGCTGTCAGAAGAATATCTGTATTATCTGATTGGACGTGTTACATTTAAAACAAAACAATGTTGCAGAATGACATTGTTATTGGATCAGTGTGTGTGTGTGTGGGGCGAGAACGTTATTGTATTGGTCAGTGATTGTGTGCAGCGCGAAAACCCTGACGCTTCTGTCGTAGCCGACCGCGACCGGGAGACCCATGGGGCGGCGCACAATTGGCCCAGCGTCGTCCAGGGTAGGGGAGGGAATGGCCGGCAGGGATTTGGCTCAGTTGGTAGAGCATGGCGTTTGCAACGCCAAGGTTGTGGGTTCGATTCCCACGGGGGGCCAGTATAAAACAAAAAAACAAAAAAATAAATGCACTCACTAACTGTAAGTCGCTCTGGATAAGAGCGTCTGCTAAATGACTAAAATGTAAATGTAAAATGCTTCGAACACACCGACTGTGTTTAAGCGTTTTGGTACACCAGAAGTACATTCGTTGCCAATGGAACGCTGCGTTTGCCTTGCAGCATTGCGTTGCAGATGCGCAAACGGGTTGACAGAAATGGTAGCAGAAGGTGAATGTTTAACTTTTGTTGCACACATATCTAGATGACGCTGCATACTATTTTCTGCATACTATTTTGCGCAAAAACACAGTTGGTGTGTTCAAAGCGTGAGTCCGAACGTAGCTAGCCATTTCATCACTGCGGACGCGCTGCACGTGCAAAGTCAGCAGCAATAAGCAGTGCAGCGCACGCACGCCTGTGTGTAGCGGTAACATTGTGTAAAGTCAGCAGCAATAAATGGTGCGGCGGTTTCCTTTCAAAATAAAAGTTTAGCTGCGGCGGTTACCTTTCAAAATATTATTATTATTATTTATTTTTTTATATATTCTTCGACCCCTTAAAATCCTCCCGCGACCCCCCCATTTGAGAATCACTGGTCTAGGATTTATGACCTGTCATTACAATGGACTTGTATAATTTATATTGTAAAACATTACAATAGCTTTTGGTTGACAGAAACGTCTGAGAGCGCTTCCTTTCATTACTTCAGCAGTCTTGAGTTAATTCACCTCAGTGTGAGTGCTCTCAATAGGCCTACTTGCTGTTGAGGGGCCCCACTAACCCCAAATTGGAAATTGAAGAAAAATATGATTGTGGGGGAGGTAGAGGCGGTTAATAAGGTAAAGGACATGGGGGAGGTAAAGGTAGAGGAGTGGAATGATATGCTGTATTTGTTATTTTCTTCCAGAATGGATTTCTTGACAAGTATCTTTTAAAATGAATTAAGAGAGAGCACTGTCAAAATAAGTCATGGGCAGAGGTGGAGGTGAAGGTGGTTGAGGCTGAGGTGGAGGAGTTCATCGAAAGCTACATCAGTGACCTTGATGTGTTGGTCATATGTCAAGAGGAAAGTCGGCATGGCAGCCACATGACACCAGGACAAACAGCTGTAAGGCCCATGTGTCCTAAACATCAACGATGGGCCAAAAAAACTCTCAATGTAACATGTTATACCTCTTCTATACTATTGTTCCATTTAGGGCCTTCATGATTGAAAGAGGTGCGGGCCATAAAGGAAGTCTTCTGTGCTGGTTCCACGTCCTGCAGGTAAAATAAGATTAGGTTTAGAACCAAACAGTCAACAAGCATCTCTACTCACACCAATATGGTTTAGAACTAAACAGTCAACAAGCTTCTCTACTCTCATCAAGGTGGTTTAGAACCAAACAGTCAACAAGCTTCTCTACTCCCATCAATATGGTTTAGAACCAAACAGTCAACAAGCTTCTCTACTCTCATCAATATGGTTTAGAACCAAACAGTCAACAAGCTTCTCTACTCCCATCAGTATGGTTTAGAACCAAACAGTCAACAAGCTTCTCTACTCCCATCAATATGGTTTAGAGCTAAACAGTCAACAAGCTTCTCTACTCTCATCAATATGGTTTAGAACCAAACAGTCAACAAGCTTCTCTACTCTCATCAATATGGTTTAGAACCAAACAGTCAACAAGCTTCTCTACTCTCATCAATATGGTTTAGAGCTAAACAGTCAACAAGCTTCTCTACTCTCATCAATATGGTTTAGAACCAAACAGTCATCAAGCTTCTCTACTCCCACCAGTATGGTTTAGAACCAAACAGTCAACAAGCTTCTCTACTCTCATCAATGTGGTTTAGAACCAAACAGTCCACAAGCTACTCTACTCTCATCAATATGGTTTAGAACCAAACAGTCAACAAGCTTCTCTACTCCCATCAATATGGTTTAGAACCAAACAGTCAACAAGCTTCTCTACTCCCATCAATATGGTTTAGAACCAAACAGTCAACAAGCTTCTCTACTCCCATCAATATTGTTTAGAACCAAACAGTCAACAAGCTTCTCTACTCTCATCAGTATGGTTTAGAACCAAACAGTCAACAAGCTTCTCTACTCCCATCAGTATGGTTTAGAACCAAACAGCCAACAAGCTTCTCTACTCCCATCAATATGGTTTAGAACTAAACAGTCAACAAGCTTCTCTACTCCCATCAATATGGTTTAGAGCTAAACAGTCAACAAGCTTCTCTACTCTCATCAATATGGTTTAGAACCAAACAGTCAATAAGCTTCTCTACTCTCATCAATATGGTTTAGAACCAGACAGTCAACAAGCTTCTCTACTCCCATCAATATTGTTTAGAACCAAACAGTCAACAAGCTTCTCTACTCCCATCAGTATGGTTTAGAACCAAACAGTCAACAAGCTTCTCTACTCCCATCAATATGGTTTAGAGCTAAACAGTCAACAAGCTTCTCTACTCTCATCAATATGGTTTAGAACCAAACAGTCAACAAGCTTCTCTACTCTCATCAATATGGTTTAGAACCAAACAGTCAACAAGCTTCTCTACTCTCATCAATATGGTTTAGAGCTAAACAGTCAACAAGCTTCTCTACTCTCATCAATATGGTTTAGAACCAAACAGTCAACAAGCTTCTCTACTCCCACCAGTATGGTTTAGAACCAAACAGTCAACAAGCTTCTCTACTCTCATCAATGTGGTTTAGAACCAAACAGTCAACAAGCTACTCTACTCTCATCAATATGGTTTAGAACCAAACAGTCAACAAGCTTCTCTACTCCCATCAATATGGTTTAGAACCAAACAGTCAACAAGCTTCTCTACTCCCATCAATATTGTTTAGAACCAAACAGTCAACAAGCTTCTCTACTCTCATCAGTATGGTTTAGAACCAAACAGTCAACAAGCTTCTCTACTCCCATCAGTATGGTTTAGAACCAAACAGCCAACAAGCTTCTCTACTCCCATCAATATGGTTTAGAACTAAACAGTCAACAAGCTTCTCTACTCACATCAATATGGTTTAGAACCAGACAGTCAACAAGCTTCTCTACTCCCATCAATATGGTTTAGAACCAAACAGTCAACAAGCTTCTCTACTCCCATCAGTATGGTTTAGAACCAAACAGTCAACAAGCTTCTCTACTACCATCAATATGGTTTAGAACCAAACAGTCAACAAGCTTCTCTACTCCCATCAATATGGTTTAGAATCAAACAGTCAACAAGCTTCTCTACTCCCATCAATATGGTTTAGAACCAAACAGTCAACAAGCTTCTCTACTCCCATCAGTATGGTTTAGAACCAAACAGTCAACAAGCTTCTCTACTCTCATCAATATGGTTTAGAACCAAACAGTCAACAAGCTTCTCTACTCCCATCAGTATGGTTTAGAACCAAACAGTCAACAAGCTTCTCTACTCTCATCAATATGGTTTAGAACCAAACAGTCAAACAAGCTTCTCTACTCCCATCAGTATGGTTTAGAACCAAACAGTCAACACCGCTTCTCTACTCCCATCAATATGGTTTAGAACCAACAGTCAACAAGCTTCTCTACTCTCATCAATATGGTTTAGAACCAAACAGTCAACAAGCTTTTCCTACTCTCATCAATATGGTTTAGAACCAAACATCAAAAAGCTTCTCTACTCTCATCAATATGGTTTAGAACCAAACAGTCAACAAGCTTCTCTACTCTCATCAATATGGTTTAGAACCAAACAGTCAACAAGCTTCTCTACTCCCATCAGTATGGTTTAGAACCAAACAGTCAACAAGCTTCTCTACTCCCATCAAATGGTTTAGAACCAACATCCAACAACTTCTCTACTCCTCAATATGGTTTAAACCAACAGTCAACAACCTTCTCTACTCCCATCAATATGGTTTAGAATCAACAGTCAACAAGCTTTTTCTACTCCCATCCCCAAAAGGTTAGAACCCCAAAATCAAACCCAAACTTCTCTACTCCATCATATGGGTTTTGAAACCAACAGTCAAAGCTTCCTACTCTCATCATATGGGTTTTGAAACCAAACGTCAACAAACTTCCTACCCCCCCATATGGTTTTTAAACCCAAAAAAAACCAACTTCCTACTCCATCAAAAGGTTTAGAACCAAACATCACAACTTCTCTACTCCCATCAATGGGTTTTGAACCAAACGTCAACACGCTTTCTCTACTCCCCCCAATTGGTTTAGAACCAAAAACAGTCACCAGCTTTTCTACTCTCTCAATATGGTTTAAAACCCAAAAAGTCAAAAGCTTCTCTACTCTCATCAATATGGTTTAGAACCAACAGTCCAAAACTTCTCTACTCTCTCAAAATTTTTTTAGAACCAACTCAAAAAGCTTTTTCACTCTCACAATAGGGGGAAACCAAACAGTCAACAAACTTCTCCACTCCCATCATATGGTTTTAAAACCAAACAGTCAACAAGCTTCTCTACTCCCCCAAAATGGTTTGAACCAAAAATCAACAAGCTTCTCTCTCTCACAATAGGTTTGAAACCAACAGTCAACAAGCTCTCTACTCCTCATCAATATGGTTTAGAACCAAACAGTCAACAAGCTTCTCTACTCTCATCAATATGGTTAGAACCAAAAAGTCAACAAGCTTCTCTACTCTCATCAATATGGTTTAGAACCAAACAGTCAACAAGCTTCTCTACTCCCATCAATATGGTTTAGAACCAAACAGTCAACAAGCTTCTCTACTCCCATCAATATGGTTTAGAACCAAACAGTCAACAAGCTTCTCTACTCCATCATATGGTTTAGAACCAAACAGTCAACAAGCTTCTCTACTCCCATCAATATGGTTTAGAACCAAACAGTCAACAAGCTTCTCTACTCCCATCAATATGGTTTAGAACCAAACAGTCAACAAGCTTCTCTACTCCAATCATATGGTTTAGAAACCAAACAGTCAAACAAGCTTATCTACTCTCATCAATATTGGTTTAGAACCAAACAGTCAACCACGCTTCTCTACTCCCATCAGTATGGTTTAGAACCAAACAGTCAACAAGCTTCTCTACTCTCATCAATATGGTTTAGAACCAAACAGTCAACAAGCTTCTCTACTCCCATCAGTATGGTTTAGAACCAAACAGTCAACACGCTTCTCTACTCCCATCAATATGGTTTAGAACCAAACAGTCAACAAGCTTCTCTAACTCTCATCAATATGGTTTAGAACCAAACAGTCCAACAAGCTTTCCTCTACTCTCATCAATATGGTTTAGAACCAAACAGTCAACAAGCTTCTCTACTCTCATCAATATGGTTTAGAACCAAACATTCAACAAGCTTCTCTACTCTCATCAATATGGTTTAGAACCAAACAGTCAACAAGCTTCTCTACTCCCATCAGTATGGTTTTAGAACCAAACAGTCAAACAAGCTTCTCTACTCCCATCAATATGGTTTAGAACCAACAGTCAACAGCTTCTCTACTCTCATCAATATGGTTTTAGAACCAAACAGTCAACAAGCTTCTCTACTACTCCCATCAATATGTTTAGAACCAAACAGTCAAACAAGCTTCTCTACTCTCATCAATATGGTTTAGAACCAAACAGTCAACAAGCTTCTCTACTCTCATCAATATGGTTTAGAACCAAACATCAACAGCCTTTTTCTCCCATCAGTATGGTTTAAAACCAAAAAGTCAAAAAAGCTTCTCTACTCCCTCAAATGGTTTTTAAAAAAAAAAAAGTCAACAAACTTCTCTACTTCACAATTGGTTTTGAACCAAAAAATCCCCCTTTTCTACTCCCTCATATGGGTTTGAATCAAACAGTCAAAAAGCTTCTTCTCCCCTCAATATGGTTTAGAACCCAAAAAGTCACAAAATTCCTACTCCAATCATATGGGGTTTTGAACCAAAAAGTCAAAAAAACTTCTCTACTCTCATCAATATGGTTTTGAACCAAACTCAAAAAGCTTCTCTACTCCTCAATGGTTTAGAACCAAACCTCAACAACTTCTCTACTCTCATCTATGGGGTTTTAAAACCAAAAAGTCAACACTTCTCTACTCCCTCTATGGTTTTTGAAACCAAAAATCACAGCTTTTCTCCCCATCAAAAATTTGGTTTAGAAACCCAAAAAGTCAAAAAGCTTCTCTAACTCTCATCGTATGGGTTTAGAACCAAAACAGTCAACAAGCATTCTCGACTCTCATCAATATGGTTTTAGAACCAAACAGTCCAACAAGCTTCTCTAACTCTCATCAATATGGTTTAGAACCAAAACAGTCAACAAGCTTCTCTACTACTCCTCATCAATATGGTTTAGAACCAACACAGTCAACAAGCTCTCTACTCCCATCAATTATCGGTTTAGAACCAAACAGTCAAACAGGCTTCTCTACTACTCATCCCCTATATGGTTTAGAACCAAACAGTCCAACAAGCTTCTCTAACTCCCATCAGTATGGTTTTTAGAACCAAAACAGTCAACAACGCTCTCTCTTACTCCCAATCCAATATGGTTTAGAACCAAACAGTCAACAAGCTTCTCTATCTCCATCAAGTATGGGTTAAGAACCAAACAGTTCAACAAGCTTCTCTACTCTCAGCAATGATGGTTTAGAACCAAACAGCAACAAGCTCTCTACTCAATGGTTTAGAACCAAAACTTCTCTACTCCCATCAATATGGTTTAGAACCAAACAGTCAACAAGCTTCTTACTCTCATCAATATGGTTTTTGAACCAAACAGTCAACAACTTCTCTCTCCCTCATATGGGTTTTTAGAACCAAAACATCAACAAGTTTTCTCTCCCCATCATAGGGTTTTTAGAACAAACTAAAACAAGTTTTTAAAACCTCATCAAGGGTTTTAAAACCCAAAATCAACAAGCTTCCCTCCCCCATCAATAGGGTTTAGAACCAAACATAAACAGCTTCCTACTCTCAAAATAGGGTTTTTAGAACCCAAAAACAGTAACAAGCTTCTCTACTCTATAAATTGGGTTTAGAACCAAACGTCAACAAGTTCTCTACTCCCATCAATAGGTTTAAAAACCAAACATCAAAAAGCTTCTTACCCCCATCAATATGGTTTAAAACCCAAAACAGTCAAAAAGCTTCCCCCTCCTTCATCAATAGGGTTTTAAAACCCAAAAACAGTCAACGTTCTTACTCTCATCAATAGGGTTTTAAACCCAAAAACAGTAAAACAAGTTCTCTACTCTCATAAATATGGTTTAGAACCAAACAGTCAACAAGCTTCTCTACTCTCATCAATATGGTTTAGAACCAAACAGTCAACAAGCTTCTCTACTCCCATCAGTATGGTTTAGAACCAAACAGTCAACAAGCTTCTCTACTCCCATCAATATGGTTTAGAACCAAACAGTCAACAAGCTTCTCTACTCTCATCAATATGGTTTAGAACCAAACAGTCAACAAGCTTCTCTACTCCCATCAATATGGTTTAGAACCAAACATTCCATATCTATAGCGCTTGTACAATTATTGGACAATAAACAAACAAAGTTTATAAGGAAATCCCAAGTAAAGTGAAGAGGAATGAGTGAATTTTATTGAAAAGAAAAGCATTAGAGAACATTTCTGTTTACAGCAGAAAAGTGACTTTCTGTTAAATAAAAATTAAAAACCCATTGCTTCCCAAATATAAAACGATTTCTTTAACATTTGAATAAACACTAAAATGGTCAAAGCTTCATATAACTTCCACAGTAGGCCTAGTCTCTGGATATACACCTCATTGCTTTGACAAGAAGGATGAACATCATCTTTACAGTGTATTATTGAACCCAACACAGCAAGACACTGTACCTTGCAAAATACAAATATTGCACTCCTTTTTTATATACATGAATAAACAGCTTGGAATATACTTATATGCAATGGCTTTAAATATTTAAAAAAATCCCATTCTAAGACATTAAGGTTGAACGCTAATGTTTTTATAGGAGGCTCTTTTTCCAATAAGTTGCAGCTTTGTAGAAATATAAGAAGTCTTCATGTACAGAGAGATGAATGCCAATGTATGAAGCATATATTTAAGCAATAAGGCACCAGGGGGTGTGGTATATGGCCAATATACTCCGGCTAAGGGCTGTTCTTATGTACGACGCAACGTGGAGTGCCTGGATACAGCCATTAGCAAGGCACTTAACCCTAATTGCTCCTGTAAGTCGCTCTGGATAAGAGCGTCTGCTAAAATGACTAAAATGTTAAATGTTAAATTAGCCGTGGTATATTGGCCATATACCACAAACCCCTGAGGTGCCTTATTGCTATTATAAACTGGTTACTAACGTAATTAAAAAAGTAAAAATATATTTTTTGTCATACACGTGGTAAACGGTCTGATATACCACGTCTTTCAGCCAATCAGCATTCAGGGCTCAAATCACCCAGTTTATAATGTTCCTCAAGACATCAATACATACAAAATCACTTGAAGAGTTCAGAGCAGAAGACAAATGATGAAAACAAACAGAGATACAAATGAGACGACAGAAGGCTGATGAAGGCTAGTGACATCACATGCACATTTCTGTCGCTTTAAGGATCCCTACGGGGACGTCTCCACAGGAAACACTACCAGTGATGTCATATTATACATCATGGAACCCCAACACTCCACAGACAGGAACCCCAGTCAGGATGGAGGCTACACCAGTCCCCCACTCATCTGCATATGTCTGTTCTTCAGATAAATAACCCCACCATGCCTCACATCACCTCCCCCTCCCCCTTCCTCTCTGTTCATGTGGTATTCTTTTAGTTGATCCATCCTCATGGATGAATGTCCCTGGTCCCATCCTCCACAGAGTGACTGTACTCTATACAACAGTGTAGAAGAAAACAACAGTCCTTTGTCCTGGCCCATTGGACAAGCCAGAGAAGGTGTGAGAGAAAATTAACAGAACATCAATATTGTCTCAGTTTAGCCGAAGCAAACTTGATGATAAGGAGAACAGAGAAGCAGGAATGGGCACTCAAGGCAGCGCTGGTACACTGGTTGGCACCTGCGTGCAGAGCGTTGAGGTCAGGAGTCAGCCAATCCCCGGTGGGTCTCACACCACAGAGGAGGAGTTGGGCATGCCCACGACGGTGGCACCGCTGGGGGTACCACTGATGACGTTGAAGATGTGCAGTGAGTCTGGAAGAACGCTCTTCATGCCATCCTCCACTGGATTGATCTGGAAAGGAGCAACGGAGGGTGTTCAAGATTATGCTAAAGGAACTACTGATTATTTCAGACAACTTAGTAAGGATGAATCACACGTAATGAAGCCCATGCCAAATATGTTTTACCATCCAATCTGCTCATGTCAGCACAAAGGAAAAACAGAAGGAAAAGGGGGTTATCAAATATCACAATAGCATGAAATATTATAAATGTACTATGAAATCCCAATGCCTTACTAATAATAACTGTTAATTTCATAATAATACTCCAATTAAACTGTTTTTACCAGTATTGCAATAAAGAAAACACAACAGATTCTTCTAAAATGTACAAATTATCGAAAATCGCTGATGTACAAACAATGATGATGGATCCCAATGTTTGTTACGCTAGCAGGTAGCTCATGCTTACTGGTTCGTGCATGATGGCGGACAGCTCTCTGGCCAGGTCTCTGTAGCTGGCCTTCATCTCGTCATGGTACTCCTGCTGGTCCTCTTTGATCAGCCGCTCGTTGATGACCAGGCCATGGCCACACGCCTCCACAAACTGCCTGCTCCGCAAAAGGCCAGTGTCATACATAATCAGCCACCCGAGCCACGGCCTGTTCACCTCCACTACCATCCAGAAGGCAGGGTCAGTACAGGTGCATCAAAGCTTGGGCCGAGAGACTGAGAAACAGCTTCTGTCTCAAGGCCATCAGACTGTTAAATAGTCACCACTAGCCGGCCCCTGCCCAGTAGCCTGCCCTGAACTTTAGTCACGGTCACTAGATGGCTACCACCAGGTTACTCAACCCTGCAGCTTAGAGACTGCAGCCCTACATACATAGACATGGAACACTGGTGACTTTAATAATGGAACACTGGTGACTTTAATAATGGAACACTGGTGACTTTAATAATGTTTAGATACTGTTTTACCCACTTCATATGTATATACTGTATTTTAGTCATTGAACACTGGTCACTTTAATAATGTTTACATACTGTTTTACCCACTTCATATGTATATTCTAGTCAAGGCCTATCCTATTTAACTATGTGTATAACTCACCTGAAGACCTCTTTAAGTTGTTTGACCTCGTTGTCAGGGTACTTATTGGTGCTGGCATCATCCAGGAAAGCTCGGGCATATGCAAGGGGACCAGCATTTACCTAAAGATGAAAGGAAAATGTTGAGGTTCGGAAGTTGAGGGATGTCTTTACCATATAGAACAAGTTGAGGGATGTCTTTACCATATAGAACATCTATCGAATAAAATAGGTGAATGGGTAAAATGAGGAAGTGTGTGTGTGTCTGTGGTTTGTGAGGACAGAATATGTGCTTTATGAGGACAGAGGATGTGGTTTGTGAGGACAGAGGATGTGGTTTGTGAGGACAGAGGATGTGGTTTGTGAGGACAGAGGATGTGGTTTATGAGGACAGAGGATGTGGTTTGTGAGGACAGAGGATGTTGTTTGTGAGGACAGAGGATGTGGTTTGTGAGGACAGAGGATGTGGTTTGTGAGGACAGAGGATGTGGTTTGTGAGGACAGAGGATGTGGTTTGTGAGGACAGAGGATGTGGTTTGTGAGGACAGAGGCTGTGGTTTGTGAGGACAGAGGATGTGGTTTGTGAGGACAGAGGATGTGGTTTGTGAGGACAGAGGATGTGGTTTGTGAGGACAGAGGATGTGGTTTGTGAGGACAGAGGATGTGGTTTGTGAGGACAGAGGATGTGGTTTGTGAGGACAGAGGATGTGGTTTGTGAGGACAGAGGATGTGGTTTGTGAGGACAGAGGATGTGGTTTGTGAGGACAGAGGATGTGGTTTGTGAGGACAGAGGATGTGGTTTGTGAGGACAGAGGATGTGCTTTGTGAGGACAGAGGATGTGCTTTGTGAGGACAGAGGATGTGCTTTGTGAGGACAGAGGCCTGCACCTGGACACTGATGCTTCCCTGTAGCTTGAGCTGCAGGCGGATCATGTCAACCTCGCTGGTGGAAACCAGCTGTCTCAGCTCAGTCAACCTCTTGCTCATCTCGTCTATAGCCACCTCTATGGGGTTCAGGTCTGTGTGGTGCTGGTACATCACCGCAATACGCTTCTTCACATAGGGGAAACAGTGGGTTGCTATGAGAGAGAGAGATAGAGAGAGAGAGAGAGAGAGAGAGAGAGAGAGAGAGAGAGAGAGAGAGAGAGAGAGAGAGCGAGAGAGAGAGAGAGAGAGAGAGAGAGAGAGAGATAGAGAGATTGAGAGAGAGAGAGAGAGAGAGAGAGAGATAGAGAGATTGAGAGAGAGAGAGAGAGATAGAGATTGAGAATGGATACATAACGTGGTTTCTCTTACGTCACCCTATTTGGCCCACAACAACTCCTCACCCACACGTGCGTTTCTTAGGTGTTCAGACAGATGTGCGTTCCAAGCAGTTTTATAGTGTGAGACTCATTCACTCACTAAAGACCTTTGAGGTAAGGCATCCTTATCAGTTAATGAAGATAAAGGTTGTACTATGGGATATTTCACACTGTAAAACAATAAAACACAACCAATTAGGATGAAGAAGAAAGATTCTAAACAAAAGAGCAGACATACTCAGAACCTAATCAAATCTTTCCATAATTACACAGGACCCTTCCTAATATGACAGCTAGAAAGATACAGGTATGTCGGGCACTAGCAAAGGTATTCCCATGGGAATGAGGTGCTTGTCTGAGTAAATACTGTAGATACCATGACATGTTTAACATCAGTATTCCCATGTGAGTGGATCTGTGTTGACTGACGGGTATTAATACGGTTGTCTGCTCCATGGACTATACATATCTGTAGACACATCCCCCTTTTCCAGCTACTCGTAGGAAGTGTTCTAAGCAGTGTGCACGGGTCATGCTAGTTTGAGTGATAAGGAACCTGTCTGATATTTGTGTCTCATTGTTTTCAGTGAGATGAGTCATCTAGAGGTGTGTCCCAATCTGTGTCTCTTAAGGGGAAATCATATCTTATTTCTTATATTCACAGATTTTGTCAGACCTTCTATACATCCATGAACATCAAATCAGAAGGAGAAGTCTAGCTAAGGGTCTCTACTATGAACACATTGACCCTGTTATTCACATGAAGTACTGTAGAACCTACTGGTGAGGATGGTCCTGCGTTTGTACTGCTCCTCCACGCCTCCCTGCTTCTTCCCCGACACGGTGAAGGGCATCTCGAAGACAAAGCGCCGGATGTTGTGGCTCTTCTCAAAGTCTGTCTTCCTGTCCACCAGCTCCTTCTCTTCCAGGAACGGGGTGACGTGGGTCACCTGGATGTAGGCGTACTTAGAGTCCAGATCTTTAGGGTTGATCTGGATGGGACGCATAACTTTGAATGACCAATCAGAACCATGGAAACCCCAAATAAATGGTAAAATACTAAGAGTAAAGTTGGACTTTTACCCTCCCAGAGTCCTGAATCATCTTGACATTCTCCGGGCCAAACTTGTCAGAGTAGAGCTTGAGTAGCCTCTGAGATATCTCTGACAGTGGGGTGAATTTGGGTTCTTTGTAGATGTACTCCTTACCATCTTCATCCTCAAAAAATCCCTAGGGGGGAGCCAACAATACACACTATGGTTACAGTACATACAGTGCTAGAGTATAGGAAAACAACATGAAAACCCAAATGTGAAGGTATTCATGTAACAATGACATCAAAAGGCAGTATGAAGAGCTAAAACAATGAGCACAACAACACGTCAGTGAGCAGCTAAGGCACTATGGCGTGTTGACAAACTTGTCTGTGCATGAAGGGAGACACAATTTCAAATCCTGAACCGAAGAGCAATAAATATTCCCAAAATACTTATTCCCCAAAAGCACAGAAACAATCAACAAAACTGGTCTAGGATCAGTGCTATGGGATAAATAAAAAGGATGAATGCAGGGGATTGAATTTCACTCTATCAATAATAAAAAAAACAAGTCCCTTAACACTGTAGATGAATGGGGTGGTGACCATCAGCAGACAGGTGACTGGATACATTTACCCAGTAAGAGATTGGAATCCTACCATTGAACCTTGACTAATATGGCCTCTTGTTGTCAGGGCAACACTGAGCCAGGCAGTAGTAGAGACTGCTGAGATGGATAAAATAAGCTAGGAGGAAGTAATGGAGCGAAGATAAGACACATAGCAGTAATCCCACCGACTGTACTAACCGGGCCACATTGCAAGCCTTAAGCTCTGATGCAGTGCATTTATCACGTTATTGACTATTCTCATTCATTTACCTCAGTCTCAGAGTCAGTAAACTGGTACTGCTACGGAGTGGTAGATGGAGCAACAGAAAACAAAAATCATAGTTATTCCAACACTACCCAGACTACAACTATAGCAGATAAGAGTTTCACACCATAACACCACATACAGAAATAACACTGGGTCAGTAGGAACATGGTTCTGGGAAGGTTATCCACTCCAACAAAGCAAACTGTCAAAAGCAACTACTGCGAAAACAAAAAGAGTTAACACACTGAAAGACGACGAAGAACCTAGGTGTAAGAAGACTTATGTGAAAATAACATCTAAAAATGGAAGCAAGAAAGCCAAATTCAGTGGATTACTCCATTGAATCAGCAACATGCATTGCTGTTGCAAAAAAATTAATAAAACAAGTCGGTGGAAGGTAGTGGTGAGTTAATGTAACTGCTAAGAGCTTTAAGCAGCACACTAGTGGCTGAAACATGTCATGGATTATAGCAGCTGCACACTAGTGGCTGAAACATGTCATGGATTATAGCAGCTGCACACTGGTGGCTGAAACATGTCATGGATTATAGCAGCTGCACACTGGTGGCTGAAACATGTCATGGATTATAGCAGCTGCACACTGGTGGCTGAAACATGTCATGGATTACAGCAGCTGCACACCACACAGATTTAGGCTGCTCAGGAAAGCGAGCAGAGCCTACTGCAGAACTTACCGCTGCCTTTACAGAGGATAAAAAGCAGAAAATAAGTATTAGAATGGGTAATAAAACACCACGTGACGTGGTCAGGCTTTTATCAATTAAAACACTTCCAGCAGCTCCCATGCTCAAATCAAGATGTTCACTGTTTTGATATAGGGCACTTGGGAGACGTGTTCCAAATTAATTTTGCTATTTGTGCCTGGATTAATCTTAAAAAATACAGTGAAAATATAATTTGTACAATATCTAAATACCTGTATAATGTACTGGAAAGAGCAAAGCAATAGTATAGTGGGAAAGGGAAACAACTTGTTTGATCTCCATTGCATTGTTTTTGTGGTACGACAGCCTACCGTCAGATTTCAATCATTAGCTCACCTGGCCAAAGAAAGCCACTCTGAAGTAGGTTCCCAGCAGCCTCTTGCCCGTGTGCATGACCTCGGTCACTTTGCTGTAGGCACGATGGAGTGTGTCATACAGCTGAGACAGTTTCTATGGAAATGAGAAACACACAAACACATTGTTAAGAATCTGTGTCTTTATCCATATAGACAGTGACATTAGAGGGAGTTGGGCTCCATGACATAGACAGTGACATCAGAGGGAGTTGGGCTCCATGACATAGACAGTGACATCAGAGGGAGTTGGGCTCCATGACATAGACAGTGACATCAGAGGGAGTTGGGCTCCATGACATAGACAGTTACATCAGAGGGAGTTGAGCTCCATGACATAGACAGTGACATCAGAGGGAGTTGGGCTCCATGACATAGACAGTGACATCAGAGGGAGTTGGGCTCCATGACATAGACAGTGACATCAGAGGGAGTTGAGATCCATGACATAGACAGTTACATCAGAGGGAGTTGAGCCCCATGACATAGACAGTTACATCAGAGGGAGTTAAGCCCCATGACATAGACAGTGACATCAGAGGGAGTTAAGCCCCATGACATAGACAGTTACATCAGAGGGAGTTGGGCTCCATGACATAGACAGTGACATCAGAGGGAGTTGGGCTCCATGACATAGACAGTGACATCAGAGGGAGTTGGGCTCCATGACATAGACAGTTACATCAGAGGGAGTTGAGCTCCATGACATAGACAGTGACATCAGAGGGAGTTGGGCTCCATGACATAGACAGTGACATCAGAGGGAGTTGGGCTCCATGACATAGACAGTGACATCAGAGGGAGTTGAGCTCCATGACATAGACAGTTACATCAGAGGGAGTTGAGCCCCATGACATAGACAGTTACATCAGAGGGAGTTAAGCCCCATGACATAGACAGTGACATCAGAGGGAGTTAAGCCCCATGACATAGACAGTTACATCAGAGGGAGTTGGGCCCCATGACATAGACAGTTACATCAGAGGGAGTTGAGCCCCATGACATAGACAGTGACATCAGAGGGAGTTGAGCCCCATGACATAGACAGTGACATAAGAGGGAGTTGAGCCCCATGACATAGACAGTGACATCAGAGGGAGTTAAGCCCCATGACATAGACATTGACATCAGAGGGAGTTAAGCCCCATGACATAGACAGTGACATCAGAGGGAGTTGAGCTCCATGACATAGACAGTTACATCAGAGGGAGTTGAGCCCCATGACATAGACAGTGACATCAGAGGGAGTTAAGCCCCATGACATAGACAGTTACATCAGAGGGAGTTGGGCCCCATGACATAGACAGTTACATCAGAGGGAGTTGAGCCCCATGACATAGACAGTGACATCAGAGGGAGTTGAGCCCCATGACATAGACAGTGACATCAGAGGGAGTTGAGCCCCATGACATAGACAGTGACATCAGAGGGAGTTAAGCCCCATGACATAGACATTGACATCAGAGGGAGTTAAGCCCCATGACATAGACAGTTACATCAGAGGGAGTTGAGCCCCATGACATAGACAGTGACATCAGAGGGAGTTGAGCCCCATGACATAGACATTGACATCAGAGGGAGTTGAGCCCCATGACATAGACAGTTACATCAGAGGGAGTTAGGCTCCATGACATAGACAGTGACATCAGAGGGAGTTGGGCTCCATGACATAGACAGTGACATCAGAGGGAGTTAGGCTCCATGACATAGACAGTGACATCAGAGGGAGTTAGGCTCCATGACATAGACAGTGACATCAGAGGGAGTTGGGCTCCATGACATAGACAGTGACATCAGAGGGAGTTAAGCCCCATGCCATAGACAGTGACATCAGAGGGAGTTAGGCTCCATGACATAGACAGTTACATCAGAGGGAGTTAAGCCCCATGCCATAGACAGTGACATCAGAGGGAGTTAGGCTCCATGACATAGACAGTTACATCAGAGGGAGTTAAGCCCCATGACATAGACAGTTACATCAGAGGGAGTTGAGCCCCATGACATAGACAGTGACATCAGAGGGAGTTGGGCTCCATGACATAGACAGTGACATCAGAGGGAGTTAAGCCCCATGACATAGACAGTGACATCAGAGGGAGTTAAGCCCCATGACATAGACAGTGACATCAGAGGGAGTTGAGCCCCATGACATAGACAGTGACATCAGAGGGAGTTGAGCCCCATGACATAGACAGTTACATCAGAGGGAGTTAAGCCCCATGACATAGACAGTGACATCAGAGGGAGTTGAGCCCCATGACATAGACAGTGACATCAGAGGGAGTTAAGCCCCATGACATAGACAGTGACATCAGAGGGAGTTGAGCCCCATGACATAGACAGTGACATCAGAGGGAGTTAAGCCCCATGACATAGACATTGACATCAGAGGGAGTTGGGCCCCATGACATAGACAGTGACATCAGAGGGAGTTGAGCCCCATGACATAGACAGTGACATCAGAGGGAGTTAAGCCCCATGACATAGACAGTTACATCAGAGGGAGTTAGGCTCCATGACATAGACAGTTACATTTACATTTACATTTTAGTCATTTAGCAGACGCTCTTATCCAGAGCGACTTACAGTTAGTATCAGAGGGAGTTGAGCCCCATGACATAGACAGTGACATCAGAGGGAGTTAAGCCCCATGACATAGACATTGACATCAGAGGGAGTTGGGCCCCATGACATAGACAGTGACATCAGAGGGAGTTGAGCCCCATGACATAGACAGTGACATCAGAGGGAGTTGAGCCCCATGACATAGACATTGACATCAGAGGGAGTTGGGCCCCATGACATAGACAGTGACATCAGAGGGAGTTGAGCCCCATGACATAGACAGTGACATCAGAGGGAGTTGAGCCCCATGACATAGACAGTGACATCAGAGGGAGTTGAGCCCCATGACATAGACAGTGACATCAGAGGGAGTTGAGCCCCATGACATAGACAGTGACATCAGAGGGAGTTGAGCCCCATGACATAGACAGTGACATCAGAGGGAGTTAAGCCCCATGACATAGACAGTGACATCAGAGGGAGTTGAGCCCCATGACATAGACAGTGACATCAGAGGGAGTTAAGCTCCATGACATAGACAGTGACATCAGAGGGAGTTGAGCCCCATGACATAGACAGTGACATCAGAGGGAGTTGAGCCCCATGACATAGACAGTGACATCAGAGGGAGTTAAGCCCCATGACATAGACATTGACATCAGAGTGTGCAGGTCTGCTGCTGTACCTCAAAGTCCCTCCCCTGTTCGTAGATGGGGACGACGAGCTTGTAGATGTCTGAGATGAGCTCATAGCGCTCAGCCTTCCACAGGCCATCAGCACACTCCTCCAACAGCTCCATCAGGACATCCTGTATGGGAGGAAGGGAGGGACAGATAAAACACTATAAAACACTGCTGTCATACCGTGTCCGCACTAATATGATCTGACTATGGACGGCACACACGAGGGCTTCATTTCAAAGCTTTTATGAAGGTTAGTGCAAAGAAAAAAGTACTAGATGAGTTTTGAATACTAGAGAGCTATTGTCCTTGATGCAACACGACACATGAAGAGTTGTAGAACTCCACTGACATTGTGTATAATGAGGATATGGTGAACAGGATATGAAAATGGGATTTAAAAGCAAACTTGTTCCACACGGCCTCTTTAAAGGCGTTTGAGCTGAGACGCTATGCTGTGCCATTTCTTTGTACTGAATTCAAGCATAGAATTAGACGCGAATTGGTTGCATGTTTGTTCTGTGAGCGTTTTTTGTTTTACCACGTTGTTGGATAGTGTGGAGCAGAGCTGATTCACTGATAACATCTCTACAAGGTAGATGCCTGGTTATCTCCCAAGAGATTGCAAACTCCACAATTTAGCAGCAGGAGTGCTGGAGATAAAGCCAAGGAGATAAACTGAGCATAAAATAAGCTAGTATTGCTTTCCCATAGGATTTACAGTATTTTGCCTGTAAAAATCATTTGGGCAATGTTTATATGACCCCTTTACAAACAGGCCCATTTTTACCACATTCTTGCATGCATACGCCTTGTATACGTCCCGTGCTGGGGACGAGTGCTAATAGTGGTGTGCAGATGTAGGTGGGGATCTGTTTTTAATAAATCCATTGAGAATGTAAGCCATCAAAAATAAATCCATAATTTACTTGTTTAGGCTGGTCCTAAGAAGCATTATAAGACAAATACAATTTATTTTCAAAATAATAGAATACCATATTTCGAGTTTAATTAGGCGTATGTTAGGGGTCTGTGCAGCCATGGCAGCGCCACCCTAATGAAATCAATAGTTCGTTATCTTCTTCATTAAACAGACAAGACACATCTACCCGATCACAGTCAACACAAATATATTTTATAGTAAGAATATAATGAAATACAGTGGCGACCCGTCATTCATACCATGTTATTTTGGCATTAATACGTGTCACATATCAGTTTGCAAACAACGTTAAAAAAAAATCAAAAAATCATTGAGTTAATAAAGCTGCATACAAACATGGTCTCTTTTTTGCTTTCTTGAGTAAGGCAGCTCCAAAATGCAGGTGTTTCAGCCTAGCTCAGTGCTTTCTGTGGTTGTGGGGCAGCAGAGCGGAAAATACGGGGCGTAGGGCTTGGTAATGTTCCCTAGTTGCGCCGTGATTGGCTCAGTGTTCTGTCACTCATGGGGACACTACGTCACCGCCAAATCTAAGGGTAGAGCTTGAAGATTCAAGCCCCTTGGGTGCTTCCATAGAGTTACATTAGAAGTGCCCATCCAAGAAGGCTGAAAGTCATTGGCCACAGATGAAATGACGTCAAATCACGTTATATCTACAGTAGCTTTGATTGGACTGATCATGTCAACATCATACTTTAGCTAGCAGTCATGATCATGAATCAAGTCGACAATCTACTGGCAAATCCTTTTTAATCCTTGTCATATGAAGAGAAGAAATTAAGAGAAATTATAGATAAAACTTATCGGTGCTCATTGGCCATTGGACATAAACATTACACAACAAGTTGGAAATCGCAAATTCAACTATGAGTGGTTTGGAAGGAATCAAAGGCTAACTGCAAGCATTGCAAAGCAATCACTAGCCTGTTAGTCAGTGGAGTGGGGGTGTGGTCCCATGTCTTGGTTTAACGGTCTCTTTTCCAAGCTTAAAATGATACATTCAGCATTGGCCATGCTGTCAATCCAGAAGGATTTCTGCCACGCTCAAAACAACTGTTAACTCGGAACTGGGAAATCTGACTTCAGTGAGTTCAAGACAACTGGGAACTCGGGAAAAAACTAACTCCGACTGGGAAAATAGTTTTGAATGGTCATCCAACTCGGAATTGTAAGTCGGGAACTCGGGACTCTTTCTAGAGCTACGACCTGAAGATCACTGACGTCATCATGATTCAACCTTGTTTTTTCCAGAGTTCCCAGTTGTCTTGAAAGCACCATAAATCCAAAGAATGCCAGACTTTGATGACAAAGTTTGATGACAAAGTTTGCCCACGAAGGACCGCCGTGCCACCTTCCTGTTCAAGTGAGCACAGCACAACAAGGTGAGTCCAAAAATGTATTGTATGCTTCTGCATAAATTATGTAATTAGGAGATATGTATACTGTAACTAAGAATACTAAGTGTTTGTTGTGTAGTAAGCTGTTAGTAGCCCATGTGCCTCACCTAATAATTTGCCAAGAGTTTGCAAAGCTGTCATCAAGGCAAAGGGTGGCTATTTGACGAATCTCAAATATATTTTGATTTGTTTAACACTTTTTTTGTTTACTACATGATTCCATATGTGTTATTTCATAGTTTTGATGTCTTCACCATTATTCTACAATGTAAAAAAATTGTAAAAATAAAGAAAAACCCTTGAATGTGTAGGTGTGTCCAAACTTTTGACTGGTAGTGTATAAATATATATATATATATATATATATATATATATATATATATGTTCATACCTGGAAGTACACGCCCCCTAATAATATTCAGGCACATAGCAGGTGTGTTTACAGTCTGGGTTGAGCTACAGTGTTGGCAGCACAGAGAAAGGAATTAGGCATTTGTGCGACAGGAACATAAAAATAGTAATGTTCAAGCGAAGACGTTTAATTTATCATTAAGTTTGGATGCCAATAGAACAAACTCAACAACAACTGAACAAAGTTGGGTTGCATTACCTGGGTAGCTAGCGTTACCCGGCTAACGTTACTGCATTACCTGGGTAGCTAGCGTTACCCGGCTAACGTTACTGCATTACCTGGGTAGCTAGCGTTACCCGGCTAACATTACTGCATTACCTGGGTAGCTAGCGTTACCCGGCTAACGTTACTGCATTACCTGGGTAGCTAGCGTTACCCGGCTAACGTTACTGCATTACCTGGGTAGCTAGCGTTACCCGGCTAACGTTACTTCATTTTATTATTATTATTATGAACAATAAAACAAATACAAAAACAGAACTATACAAACAAGAGTACATAAACCTCACAGACGGGTGTATTACATATCGAGATATATTTTCAATTTGTCAAAAGGTTTTATGGTACATATTGCTTTTTTGTTTTTACACATTTTTAAATAATATTTTATGGATAAAGAATCTTCCATGAAAATTAAACAAATTAACAATGAAAGTTAAATCAGGGTCCATATCATTTGGATCAAAATAAAACATAATATCAGAGTCTTTCAAATTAACATTAATAGTAGTTTATTTTAAAATAAAATATTATTACTCACTCCAAAATCTTCTGCCATAAGAACAGTCCCAAAATAAATGGTCAAGAGTCTCTGGGTCACAACCACAAAATACAGTCGTGGTCAAACGATTTGAGAATGACACAAATACTAATTCTCACAAAGTCTGCTGCCTCAGTTTTGATGATGGCAATTTGCATATACTCCAGAATGTCATGAAGAGTGATCAGATGAATTGCAATTAATTGCAAAGTCCCTCTTTGCCATGAAAATGAACTTAATCCCAAATAAACATTTCCACTGCATTTCAGCCATCAGTTTCCTGGCCATGGACCCAAAATGTCTATGTTTTGTTCCCCGAGCCACTTAATAATCACTTTTGCCTTATGGCAAGGTGCTCCATCATGCTGTAAAAGGCATTGGTCGTCACCAAACTGTTCTTGGATGGTTGGGAGAAGTTGCTCTCGGAGGATGTGTTGGTACCATTCTTTATTCATGGCTGTGTTCTTAAGCAAAATTGTGAGTGAGCCCACTCCCTTGGCTGAGAAGCAACCCCACACATGAATGGTCTCAGGATGCTTTACTGTTGGCATGACACAGGACTAATGGTAGCGTTCACCTTGTCTTCTCTGGACAAGGTGTTTTACGGATGCCTCAAACAATCGGAAAGGGGATTCATCAGAGAAAATGACTTTACCCCAGTCCTCAGCAGTCCTATCCCTGTACCTTTTGCAGAATATCAGTCTGTCCCGCAGCTGAATCAACTTTAGGAGACGGTCCTGGCGCTTGCTGGACTTTCTTGGGCGCCCTGGCGCCTTCTTCACAACAATTGAACCTCTCTCCTTGAAGTTCTTGATGATCCGATAAATGGTTGATTTAGGTGCAATCTTACTAGCAGCAATATCCTTGCCTGTGAAGCCCTTTTTGTGCAAAGCAATGATGACGGCACATGTTTCCTTGCAGGTAACCATAGTTAACAGAGGAAGAACAATGATTTCAGGCACCACCCTCCTTTTAAAGCTTCTAGTCTGTTATTCTAACTCAATCAGCATGACAGAGTGATCTCCAGCCTTGTACTCGTCAACACTCTCACCTGTGTTAACGAGAGAATCACTGACATGATGGCAGCTGGTCCTTTTGTGGCAGGGCTGAAATGCAGTGGAAATGTTTATTTGGGATTAAGTTCATTTTCATGGCAAAGAGGGACTTTGCAATTAATTGCAATTCATCTGATCACTCTTCATGACATTCTGGAGTATATGCAAATTGCCATCATCAAAACTGAGGCAGCAGACTTTTGAGAACATTTATATTTGTGTCATTCTCAAAACTTTTGACCACGACTGTACATGTTATTGCATTTATAGTTTTAAAATGTAAATTCCTTCTAGCTGTATTGAGGCTACAAAATCCTCATCAGTTGCACTTGGCGTACTGTTATATTCTCCTAAAAAAAGAATAGCATTTTTAGCTTTAACAACTATTTGAAACTCCTCAGGAGTGAATGTAACATTGTGTGTTTTCATGAATTCTGGATAATCATATAGTTAACCATCATTATTCAATAATTGTTTAACCCAGATAATGCTGTTGTCAAACCAGTTCTGGAAAAACAAAGACTTGTTTTTGTATTTGATGTCTTTATTATTCCAGATTGTATATCTATGTGGGGGAAAAATTATGTTTGTATATGAGGTTCCAAGTTAGAAGTACTTGTTTATGAAAGTTAGCAAGCTTAATAGGGATCTTAACCACATCAAAGTTGCATTTGAGTGAGAATTCTAGACCACCAATCTGCTGGAATATTAAATTACGGGTTTATATTCCAAATGCAATCCTTATTTCTTAGTTTTGTATCCATTTGATCTTAAAGATTATATTAGAGGTTTTAAAATCCAGAGCATTCAACCAACCCTCCCTCACTTTGGGTGCTACATATTACTGCTTTTCTTAAATAATGAGATTTATTCCTTCATATGAAGTTCAATAATTTAGTATCAACCATTTTAGTTACTGATAGAGGAACATCCAAGGAAAGGGAGGTATAAACTAATCTGGACAGACCTTCAGATTTTGACAAAAGTACACGTCCAGTACACGTCTTTTCAACGCAAATAATTCACATTTCCTAATATTCAGAGATAAACCAGATACATGTGAGAAGGCATTAACACACTCAATAGCTTTGCTGACTTCATTATGATCTTTCAAAAACAATGGTGGTGTCGTCAGCCAATTGTGAACATTTGATATCTTTATCTTGTATCTGAATACCCCTAAAACTATCCTTATTGATATGAACTGCCATTACTTGTGTGAACAATACAAATAAGAAAGGAGAAATTGGGCATCCTTGTATAATTCCACGTCTAATATCGAATCTCTGTGAAGTTCCATGGGATATGAAGTTCCATGGGATAATTTAACAGAGCTGTTCCTATTATAGTAAAGTGGAAATATTGTTCAACTGTATCAAAAGCCTTGTAAAAGTCTACAAATAAAATAAAGCTATCTTCCATAATGTGTTCATTGTAGTCTATCAAGTCCAATACTAGTCGAATATTATTACATATCTGTCTGCCCATCATAAAACCAGGCTGGGTATCATTAATGATTTGGTCAAGACCTTTTTTAAGTATTTCTGCAAAGATGGATGCAAGTAGCTTTCCATCATTGTTCGTTAATGTGATTGGTCTCCAATTTTCTAACATCATAGGATCTTTGTTTGGTTTGGGGATTACAGAAATTAGGCCTTGTGTTATAGAAACAGGCAGGACCCCTAAATCAATGGCCTCCTTAAAAACATAAAATATTGATAGAATTCACTAATAAGGCCATCATTCTCTGGAGATTTGTTCTCTTTTAACCTGCTGATAATTTTTGTTATTTCATTGATATAAATAAATTCATCACAAGACATTTGGAAGTCTTCATCTATGAATTTTGCACAGTCTTTGACAGAGTCTAGAAAGGCAGACATGTCACTAGCAGGACAGGCATTACTGGTGTAAAGATTAACATAGAATTCTGAAACAAATTTTGAAATATCTTTGGGATTTTCATTTTCTTTGCCATCTATCTTAAGCTTATGAATAGAGGTCAATTCAGATTTTTTTTTTTATCTCTAAATGTTTTTTTTTCACCTTCCTCCAACCATCTCCTTCTTGATCTTACAAATTCCCATTTTGCTCTCTCTTCATACAGTCATTCCAGTTCTAGTTGTAAAAAAAATAACGGACCATTTCCTCCTTCATCAAGGTCCTCCATAGAGATTAGAGAAAGTATTTCCTTAACAAGTTTCTCTTCCCTCAATCTTTTAAATTCAGCAATTTCTTTAACCTCTCTTCATGGCTGTTTGTCTTATTTCATACTTCATTCATTCCCAATATTTCCCATGACTTAAATAGCTGGGCTTTCCTCCAATTTTCTTGTATAATATCTTTGGCATCCATCTTGAAATGATCATCTTCCAACAATCTACTATTGAGTTTCCAATAACTCAGATTCGGTTTATTAACTTCAGAGCCATTCATATTTAAAGATAAGAATATAACTTTATGATCAGTAAGAATTAATGGTTCAATGGATAGCTTGACTACTGTGTTATCTAATGAATTAGAAATCAACCAGAAGTCATTTCTTGACTGTCTGGGCATGTCCTTGTTACACCAAGTGAAGTCCTTTTGATCAGGATATTTAGATCTCCAAATATCGAATAATCCAAGACCAAGACATAGATGATTAAACTCAGGATTAACAATGCTGGATCTGTTAGGAGGGGGATATCTGTCAATCACACAAAATTAAAATCTCCACCTAAGATAATTTTGTTATCCTGAAATACACCTTTAACTCTATTAATCAGGTCTTCAAATTCTTGAAATAATATCCTGTGGGTTTTGTTTGTTGTTGGATGCATAGATATTCCCTAATAAAAAACATTCGCTGTTCAAATTCACTGTTAAAATTAACCAACGTCCAGAGTGGTGAGTCTTACAACTGATGACCTTCCCTTTAAATGCGCCACTTAAAACTGCTACACTTGCAGAGTGGTTGCTGCCATATGATAACCAGATATCCTGGTTGCTGCCAATTGACAACCAGATATCCTAGTTGTTGCCATATGATAATCAGATATCCTGGTTGCTGCCATATGATAACCAGATATCCTGGTTGCTGCCATATGATAACCAGATATCCTAGTTGTTGCCATATGATAACCAGATATCCTGGTTGCTGCCATATGATAACTAGATATCCTGGTTGCTGCCATATGATAACCAGATATCCTGGTTGTTGCCATATGATAACCAGATATCGTTACCCCATAGATTTTGCCAAAAAGCTAGATCGGAAGAACAAGCATGAGTCTCTTGTAGAAAGTAAAAGTCTGCATAATACAGGAAAATAGCCTTACGTTTGAGTAAATTACAAATACCCCTGACATTAATTGAACAAAGAGATAAAGACAAACTTCAACCAACAACCTTGTTATGCTAATATAGCTTTTCCTAAGGATATGTAACTCAAAAGGATTTCCATCCCATTGTTAACCCCTCCAACAGAAAAAAACAAAGAAATACTGTCCATAAAGTTACCAAATTATTCTTATTCCCACAAGGGGGACACATTGTGTAGACCTTATTCACCCATAGTTAGTGTTTAGTTTACCAGTTCTCAGTTCAGCCTTTTCTCATTCAAGTATTTGTGTAAATTCTTTACAATAAAAGGCTGCTTTTCACCTGGAAATTAGGCAGTGTTTAGGCCTACCAGTTCTGTCCGAGTTAGACTCTGGCTCTCTCTCAAATGTTCTGATTTGGCTGCATTTCCTTCCCATCGATGATCACTCTTCCACCGACCAAAACATAATGTTTTCCCTGCCTTTCGAGCTGCAGCCACCATCGGCCACAGTTTCTCCCGGGTCACTTTGTCCGCAGAGGTCAGATCCTCCGTGAACCTCAATCTTTGCTTGATGAGGAACTCACAGTTCTTTGCTCGCCTCCAGAGAAGATCCTGTGGTAGATCTGTTGGTGAACCGGATGATGGTTGTCCTCTGTCTCTTGTCTTGATCCTTGAGTCTTCCCAAACGATGAACAATGTCCACATTTTCCTGAGGTTTGGCTTTTGATTCGGGAATGACAGCTCCACAGCTCCCGCCTGCTCTGGAATTCCATGGAGCCTCAGGTTCCACCTGCGCTGGTATCTCTCCGCCTCATTCACCTTTTGCTCGAGTTCAGCCACCTTCTTTTCATTTACCTGGCAGATAACTTCCACCTTCTTCATGTCACTTTTGAGGGTTTTCACTTCTCCAGAGATAAAGTCAACAGATTTTTTTATGGCCTCAGTTTTCATGGTATTCCTCCTAACCATGTACTCCAAGCAATCTGCACTTTCATCTATTTTTGCTGTCAAAAGCATCACAGTATTGTTTTGCATCTCAAGAAGTGACATACCCTCTTGCCCTCTCATCTTTTTCCCCGGGGGCTTGACTGGAGTGTCAGGGTCGTAAGGTAACAGCCTGAGCTGGGGACTGGATGGGCGCAGGTTGTCAGCATTGTTGTCCGTGCCACACCAAATTTTCATCACCCACAGCAGTATTCCCCCCACAGTTACATTCTGAAGAGGAGTACCCAAGACCATACCATCTATTTGCTGTTAATTGTCCATCTGATCATTTCTGTCACGCCCTGGCTCTGGGGACACTGTTATGTTGAGCCAGGGTGTGTAATTCTATGTTTGTATTTCTATGTTGGCCTGAGTGACTCCCAATCAGAGGCAACGAGTGTCAGCTGGTTGTCTCTGATTGGGAGCCATATTTAACTGTCTGTCTTTCACTTTGTGTTTGTGGTTTCTTGTTTCTAGTTGGTTTTTGTTAAACCGTAGACATCACGTTATCGTCTGTTGTCGTGATCATTCATTAATAAATATGTTCACCTGCAACGCTGCGCATTGGTCTCTCCCTGACGAGCGTGACAATTTCTCCATTTCTGTTTTTTTGGGTTCTGGTCGTGGAAGTTTCCATGTAGACAAGCTAGTTTTTGAGCTAGCTAGCTGATCTGGCTATCTAGTGTTGTCGCTAACTTAATCGTTTTAGAGGTGAATAATTTGCAGAAAGTAATCAATTACTTTGGTAAACAAACTAAACCATATTCATATGGGGTTTTATGACCTTAGAAATGACCGAATGGTCATATTTGGGTGAGGAAATCCAATAATTCCTTCAGCTACTAAACAAATGCATCTGTACTGACCGCCATCTTGCGCGTTTAAGAGTTTTAGAGCGTATGCCGCCTTATGGCTACGTTTCATACTAAGCAGTAGCCAGAACTTTACCGAAATTATTACTAGGTCGTTAGGCGGAAACATAACGTTTTGGCTTTGATACCGGCAATACCTTTCAGACATAAAGAAAAGGCAGAAAAACTTTGCCGTTATGATAAAGTTGGCGGAAAAAACGTCTTAGTGTGAAAGGGATACAAGAGTTGTGAATGCCCGCCCAAAAAGGACATTGAAACAAGCACCAGAACTCATTAGTTGACCTAGCAGCAGAGAGCAGCTGGCTGTTAGTCTCTCACCTCATTGAAGTGGACATCCTGCATGCCCACATCCTCCATCATGGATACTTCCTCATCAATGTTGGGGGTGACCACCCGGAAGGCTGAGCAACCCTGCTTGAACATGCCTACGGACCGTTAAGCAGATGGGAACACCATCAGTAAACCAAACAGACAGACGTTTTCTTATTTCTGCGGCCTGTTAAGACAGGTTCTACATTAAGGGGAAAATATGATTTCACTCGGAACATTCTGTCGTGTACAAACAGGCGAAAGGTCAAAGTTAGAGACTTGAGCTCTCATATAGTTTGCAATGAGTGGACCTGCTTTCACAGAACCGATTATCCCTCTGGTGTTAAGAAGTAAACAACACTGAAACACAGATCACACTACGTTACATAACCAAATCACAGATCTGGGGCTGCCTGTATCAAGCGTCACAGAGTACTGATTCAGTTTTGCCTTTTAGATCACACTGAATAAGATATCGAGTGGACAAGGAGGACCTGATCCTAGATCAGGACAAGGAGGACCTGATCCTAGATCAGGACAAGGAGGACCTGATCCTAGATCAGGACAAGGAGGACCTGATCCTAGATCAGCACTCCTACTCTGAGAGGCTTTGATACCAGACGACCCCTGACCTTATCAGAATGTAGCAAGAATGACAGATTACATAGAAATATGTACACTATGCACAGTACAATATTGGACTACTAACTAATAACTACCAATCATTTCATTAAAATCACATTGCGCTGACCCATTCATTAACCCCTTGTGAAGTTCTCCTGTCTTAAAAAAAGAGAAAATGGCACAATCAAGTGGCAATGATGAGCAACATACTGCTGACTGAAAACGTACCTTTTCTCCGGAGATACTCGGCCACCAGTGCCGCCACGTGCACATAACACATGGCTGCCTGTGAACAACAGAGAACATCACAGATACATCAGTATGTTTTACTAGCTAGCCACATGACTTGAATTCATCATATTACATATTCATATCGCATATAGAGATTCTACCATAATCCACACCTCAAAATAACACCCATCCCTCTGGCATAGGCCCATCCTCTTAAACGTATACACTGTGACCCCTAGCCTCACCCCTAGCCTGGAAACGACCTTGAACAGGTCTCCTTTCTTCAAACTCTGACCCCTAGCCTGAACCCTAGCCTGGTACCAACCACGGGCAGGTCTCCATTCTTGACATTCTGACTCCTAGCCTGGAACAGACCTCGGACAGATCTCCATTCTTGACACTCGGACCCCTAGCCTGACCCCTAGCCATGTACCGATCTCGGACAGGCCTCCATTCTTCACACTCTGACCCCTAGCCTGGTACAGACCTCAGACAGGTCTCCATTCTTCACACTCTGACCCCTAGCCTGGTACCGACCTCGGACAGGTCTCCATTCTTCACACTCTGACCCCTAGCCCGACCCCTAGCCTGACTTCTAGCCAGGTACCGACCTCGGACAGGTCTCTATTCTTCACACTCGGACCCCTAGCCCGACCCCTAGCCTGACTTCTAGCCAGGTACCGACCTCGGACAGGCCTCCATTCTTCACACTCTGACCCCTAGCCTGGTACAGACCTCGGACAGGCCTCCATTCTTCACACTCTGACCCCTAGCCTGGAACAGACCTCGGACAGGTCTCTATTCTTGCATTCTTGACACTCTGACCCCTAGCCAGGTACCGACCTCGGACAGGCCTCCATTCTTCACACTCGGACCCCTAGCCCGACCCCTAGCCTGACTTCTAGCCAGGTACCGACCTCGGACAGGCCTCCGTTCTTCACACTCTGACCCCTAGCCTGGTACCGACCTCGGACAGGTCTCCATTCTTCACACTCTGACTTCTAGCCAGGTACCGACCTCGGACAGGCCTCCGTTCTTCACACTCTGACCCCTAGCCTGGAACAGACCTCGGACAGGTCTCTATTCTTGCATTCTTGACACTCTGACTTCTAGCCAGGTGCCGACCTCGGACAGGCCTCCATTCTTCACACTCTGACCCCTAGCCTGGTACAGACCTCGGACAGGTCTCAATTCTTCACACCCTGACCCCTAGCCTGGTACCGACCTCGGACAGGTCTCAATTCTTCACACTGACCCCTAGCCTGGTACCGACCTCGGACAGGTCTCAATTCTTCACACTGACCCCTAGCCTGGTACAGACCTCAGACAGGTCTCCATTCTTCACACTGACCCCTAGCCTGGTACAGACCTTGGACAGGTCTCCATTCTTCACACTCTGACCCCTAGCCTGGTACCGACCTCGGACAGGTCTCTATTCTTCACATGGATGCGGGCCATGCTGTCCAGCCAAGTCTTGCGGAGCTCGGGCGTGCTGGCGTAGGACTTTGCCAGGCTGTACTGCAGGTCCACCAGCATCTCCGGGTCCCTCTCATGCTCCTTCATCTGAGCCGTGGCCATCAGGACCGTCCGGATCCGCTTGGTCAGGTCCTTCACATCTGACGGGAAGGCTGTGTTCTGTACAGGACAATAAAGCAGGAAGAGTAAACACCAGATTATTCATGTGGTCCAATGAGAATAGAGCATCCCATCGGGTTCTGACCTTGATGGTCTTATCACTGTTGGCACAGTTGTTGATGATGGACAGGGACTGCTGGAAGCGGGTTCCTCCGATACCGATGACGTCAGCGATCAGCTGACTGACGGCGATCACCACCTGAGCGAGAGGGCAGAAGTTGCACACGTCAATAACAAACTACTCCCATAACCATCAAACAAACCACTCTTTAGGAGAGTTCCATAGAGACGTTCCGCCACTCTCTCAATCTCTCTCTCTCTCTCTCTCTCTCTCTCTCTCTCTCTCTCTCTCTCTCTCTCTCTCTCTCTCTCTCTCTCTCACCTGTAGGTGAGTGCGAACGAAGGACTTGCGTCCTGTGTAGTCAAAGTTACTCTTCATGAGGAAGTAGAGGAGGTGAGCGGCGTCGCTGCGGATGGAGCTCAGCTTGGAGTTGCAGCACTTCAGGATCTCGTAACAGAACGAAGCACACATGTCAGCACGGCCCTCGAAGAAGGTACAGGGGAACTGGAAACAGACACACAGTGATGATCAAATCCTCGGCACATTTAAGAGACAGAGAGAAAAACTCTTCACTACTGTGAACTGTTAAGAACCAATGGCCTCCTCACCTTGTAGATGAAGGTGCGCAGCGAGGTGAAGACCTGCTTGAGGGCCGTCTCTGATTGGTTAATCTGTAGGAAGCAGAGGTGCACCTCAAACACCTTCTTCATGAGCGGGTTGTGGCCATGGTCAGAACAGAGCTGGGTCTGAGGACATACAAGTACAGACAGTTAGCAACTTCAAAAGCCAGGGATTGACACTAACAGGCAACATCAAGTAAGAAGTAGAAAAAGGGTGGAATATCAAATAAAATCACCAACAACATAGGAGGGTTCTTGTCAGTGATCGGTAAGACACAGCTGAAGAGGGAGTTTCAAGTTCCTTAGATAACATAAATCACTTAACAAGTAAGGAAGGTGACGTTTTTTACACGTTCATGACCACTTTATTATTAATGAACAGAAACAGCAGTTAGGAGTGTACCTTGAATCCCGTGATGAAGATGCTGAGAGTGTCCAGCACGGTGAGACAGACCTCCGTGGCGATGTTCGCCTCCAGGACCGATTGGTTCAGCACGTCAGCGTCGGTGTGGCTATAGGCTGCAGAGGACACATACCACACTGCTGGAGCACTTCCAAAGCACCCTATTCCCTATATAGTGCACTACTTTTGACCAGGGCACATTGGACCCATAGGGGCTCTGGTCAAAAGTAGTGCACTATATAGGGAATAGGGTGCCATTTGGGACTCACACTCTGAGTCAGGGCTGCCCTAGATGCCCTCTTGTGAGTAATCATTGCAATACAGTCTGAGAGAATAGCTATTATTAGTAGCAAGGCAAAAACCATTGCTTAACAGGGAGGAAATAATATTCAGTTGAGTTGAAAACAAACGCATTCAACTTGTGATTTTTCAGCGGTTTGAATACAATGAAATGAGTTACGAAGGGAACAGAAATGAACAGGATAGAGGGAACAGAGGGTTTAAAGGGGCTCATTCTCAGCTATAATGGCATGCTCTTAATTCAACCAAATGAACAGAGCTAATAATAAATAGTCTGTAAGCTGCCTGTCGTTGACCTGATACATTCTTACCATGTTTTACAGATATTCCAAGTACACTTGAAATCTTTCTTACACTGAAAACACAAAGAAATTCACTTCATTAAAGGGAATCAAGTAAGAGACTTACTATAGAGCTGAATGTCTTTTGCTTTTGGTGAAGTCAATATATATATATATACATTTTTTAAATGTTTTAATAAAAATATATATATATGTATTTAGTTGGGTTTTTTAAATCGTTGCAACTCCCATTCGGACTCGGGCGAGGTGAAGGTCGAAACACGACCCCGCCAAGCCGCACTGCTTGTTGACACACTGCCTGCTTAACCCGGAAGCCAGCTGCACCAATGTGTCGGAGGAAACGGCGTACAGCTGGCGACCGAAGTTAGCGTGCATGCGCCCGACTGCCACAAGGAGTCGCTAGAGCGCGATGGGACAAGGACATCCCAGCCAGCCAAACCCTCCCCTAACCCGGACGACGCTGGGCCAATTGTGCGCCGCCTCATGGGTCTCCAGGTCGCGGCCGGCTGCGACACAGCCCGGGATTGAACCCGGATCTGTAGTGACGCCTCTAGCCATAGATCGCTGCGACACTCGGGAGGCCCTGGTGAAGTCAATACAGCGTTACACAGTGATCTTGGTCCTGATGAAAACCATCCCTTCAACACATATCCAGTGATGACTGACCCAAGGGGTCATATACTCTCTAGGATAAAACCATTCACTTTTGTTCACTCAAAACCACCACATCCATGGAGAAATGGCTCTAGAACGGCTGACTTTGGACTTGGGTTTGGCACACATGATGATGATGATGATGATGATGATGATGAGGTGACTGACTATAGAGTGCGGGGCCTCTGGTTAAGAGGCGGGTGTTTGGGGGCACTTACTGTGGTTAAAAGTGTATGAGTTATCCAGGCTGCTGAGTTGCTGTAAGCGGGCATGCATCATTCCCGCCCTGTTACGGGACACAGGCAGAGTCTGAGACTTCCGCTCATGTGCTGCTATGGGTCCCACCCCTTCCTGGCTCCTGATGAGGAAACAGGACACTGTTAGACGAGTGACCCACTACCAGCAGGGTCAGGGTTAGTCAAGCAGGTTAGATTGGATAATACACATACCAGGGTCAGGGTTAGTCAAGCAGGTTAGAGTGGATATTACACATACCTAACTATTATATTGATCACAAAATAGAAGGAAATACTGTATAGCCTGGTAGCCAGATCGGTTCCTGTTTAAGGTTGTCTAAATCATAAACTGGCTCCCAGGCTAGAAATAGGGCCAAAGAGAAAATCAAACCCCTAGGAATGAAACAAATGTCTGCTTTAGGTATGTTAGGAGCACTTTGGAGCTCATTTGACCCACGACTATTATTTCTACACTGAGTGTACAAAACATTAGGAACACCTTCCTAATATTTAGTTGCACCCCCCTTTGCCTGCAGAACAGCCTCAATTCATCGGGGCATGGACTCTACAAGGTTTCTAAAGAGTTCCACAGGGATGCTGGCCCATGTTGACTCCAATGCTTCCCACAGTTGTGTCAAGTTGGCTGGATGTCCTTTGGGTGGTGGACCATTCTTGATAGACAAGGGAAACTGTTGAGCGTGAAAAACCCAGCAGCGTTGTAGTTCTTGACACACTCAAACCGGTGCGCCTGGCACCTGCTACCATACCCCGTTCAAAGGAACTTAAATCTTTTGTCTTGCCCATTCACCCTCTGAATGGAGCACATGCACAATCCATGTCTCAAATGTCAAGGCATAAAAATCCTTCTTTAACCTGTCTCCTCCCCTTCATCTACACTGATTTAAGTGGATTTAACAGGTGACATCAATAAGGGATAATAGCTTTCACCTGGATTCACCTGGTCAGTCTATGTCATGGAAAGAGCAGGTGTTCATAATGTTTTGTACATTCATGCGATCTTGATTCAGTGTTGATAAGTCAAGTTGTGAGGCGATCCAGAGAAGCTTGATTTACATTCATTACACCAGACATCGCTAGAGCAGAATTACAGCAGATAGTAGCAGCAGAAGCCAACGCATGCTCAATGAGAGAGACAATAGCCTGTGAAGCTTATGGCAGGGTATAGCTGTGTGATGCAATTACATGGCCAATCAAAGTGGTGTAGCGTTATAAGACAGCCAATCAGAAAAGAGAGAAGAAAACATGCTTTTAGTATAGGAGAGTTAATTCCACCTGTAGTCTTACCCAAGCAGAAGGGGGCAGGAGCCATGTTTTATTTTTTCTTACTATATTAAACTTGCCAGCATTAAAGTGAATAGATAAACAGACAGTGGTGGTGGTCAGAGAGATCGGAGAGCCGTCAGGACAGAGAAAATGTGTGCCAGAGTCCAGTCCAAAGGCAAATATGAGCGTACTTGGTGGTGTGTGGTTAATAGTGTGTGGTTAATAGTGTGTGGTTATAGTGTGTGTTCTGTAGTGTTCGAGGGTCTTTACTTTACACACAACTCAACAGACCAAGCCCCACACATTAGCACTGTCCTGGGCAATATCAGTAGCGATATCAGTCAATGGTTGTGTCATTCAAACGATCTCAGGTGTTACTAGAAAACATTCATAGCATCTTCAAATAGTAGATATGGACTAGCTTGTGGTGTACAGGCACCCTAAAATGTCTGGGACAATATTCACACTGACATTAAAACAGCAACATTTTCAACACAATACTATCAACAAAATTGTCATAAATTAAGAATTTAGTCTCATCTACAGGTTTTACATAAAAGCTTCAATTGAACCATTCGGACAACAACATTACCTTGCGATGCATCTCTTTCCTATATATCTGAATTGATGGAGACACACTCTGGAGACAAAAGCATTAGACTCATTGTTACTCATTGTGGGTAATAGAGGATGCTAAAACATACTCAATCTATACGGTAAACGGTATAAAGTAGCACCGGGACAATAACACCAAAGGTCAAGCTGACAGTCCAATGCTTACTCTACTAGTGTGAAGAAGTCCATGAGCTCAGTAGATGAGGCCTTGTTCCAGTATGTAAACAGAGCATCTGAAAGAAGGAGAGGTGGGGGGTTTTAAGTGCATCCCAAATGGTACCCTATTTCCTATAGTGTCCTATGGACCTTTGTCAAAAGTAGTGCACTAAATAGGGGATAGGGTGTCATTTGGGACGCAAGTCCTGGGGAAACCACTGGCTGTAGAAAACACAGTTCACTAAGGATACCCTATTTTCCCCCACCAAAAAAAAAAAACAACAACATCAAATGAAGTACTTGACTACAAAGAGGTAAAGTCTTACCCTCAGACATGCTCTTGAGGACGTGCAGGAAGCACATGAGCAGGCTCTTGATCTCAGCCTGGTCCAGCTTGTCACAACGCAGCAGGCTGCCACCCAGGGCTGACGCTGGCTGGTTCTGAGGGGACAGTCACACTGGTCAGAGATCAGCTGGAATACGCTACAACACGCTAGCTTGTCTTCTACTCACACCCTGTTGCACTGCTCTGTTCACAGAGTACTGCTATTGGGAGATGTGTGCTAGTTGTTCTATTTTCCACGTTGTTGTCTACTTCTTGATCTTAATTTATGGTAATCTGTACATGTTTAATAAGGCAAAAAAGGGTAGGAAAAATAAGGTATCGAAGAATATTAGATGCTGATTTACGTACATTCGTCAGCAAAGAGAAAAACGTTAGTCTATCATTGAACTGATTATGTAATACTAAAGTACCCTTCAGTACATCTACTTCCTATACATTTACATTAATATGATGCATTCATAAGCATGTAAGCCTACTGTAATGGCTAGCAGCAAGCCCAGGGCACTCACGGTGCAGTATGGCTACACTAATGGAGTGAGTCACTAATGGAGTGAGTCACTAATGGAGTGAGTCACTAATGGAGTCAGTCACTCATGGAGTCAGTCACTCATGGAGTCAGTCACTCATGGAGTCAGTCACTCAGGCCCTGCTGGACTCTAGATGCGGGGGAGACTGACGGATCAGTTGTACGTGCAGGGCCTAATCACTAGAACTCTCCAAGCCGGGGCAGAGAGCAGGAAGCAGGAACCGACAAAACAGTGGAGTAGAAGTTCTACCATAGCGTGGGGAAATACAGTGTCTTCCTTTACCAGCAGTGAGTTAGTCTAGACCAGCGCTAACTGAGGATGACCTCATGGAAAGACTGAAGCTATTTCTTGTCTTGGAGGAGTGTTGACAGAGAAAGTTAGCGGCTAAACCTAGCTGCCATATACACTGAGTATACCAAACATTAGGAACACCTTCCTAATATTGAGTTGCTCACTTGTTTCAGCCAAGGAGCAACAAAGTTTCATCCCGTTGTAAAGAACCCGTATATACGGTAACTGTGCCCAGCCCCTAAGTACTAAGAGTTCTGAGAACAATCCTCTAAAACTCTTACAGCTAAAATAGTCACACAGCAAACATGAGGGAGATCAGAAATAAAGAGACTCGAGCCCGGGTAAATGCTTCAGTATCACTCCGACAGAAAACCTCATGAAGACATGCAGTAGCTGTGCTTCATGGCACCGGAGATGAAACTGTGTAACATCCTCCTGGCAAAGAAAGGAACACTGCAAAGACTAAAACACACTCTTACACCCACTCCCAGACAGGACACTCTTGGGAGGAAGGGGAGGAGGTAAAGGTGAGGGAGGTTTATTCTGTACTTGGAGTGGAGTGGTGGTGTGATGCGGGACATGATTCTCTGAGACACTGGGGACAGTGAGCAGGGAAAAGTCCACGGTGGCGCGTTTGGAGCGAATGGAGTCCTCGGGCTCGGAAAATAAGCGCAGCACATTGGCAGAGTGTCTCCGCCTGTAATTATCCTTCTGCCAACAGCAGGAGTGGGAGGGTGGATGGAGGAGTCAATAGTACAAGTTAACAGGCAGTAACCTCATAACTGTCACTGGTGTAACAGGTGTCTGTCTGAGAAATACTGAAAATGATGCATGGAACATCCTCAACTAAATCTGTGGCCTAAATCTGACCCACTAAATAGCTGCTGAATCTCGTATTGACCCCACACAGATTTATTTCAAGCCTAAACAGACTAACACACTAATAACAGCACTGCAGTGGTCATATGCTAGACCCTCAATAACTGATGACCAGTCTATCTGTCAAGCAGATCTCAGCCTGCAGCTATTTTACTAAAGCCAATACCAATAAGTTAAAAATGATCATCTTTAAGTAATGGTCCATGACAGTGGCTGTAGTATGAGTCCATGGCGTTGTACCTTGTCCAGAGAGTTGCTCTTATCGTTGCTCTTCTCGGGAAGGCTGTTTCCAGAGTCAGTGCTGATGAGGGAGCCCCGGGAGTCAGTGTGGCGGACAGAGTTTGTGTTGGGGGTAGAGGATGCATGGGGGGAGGCTGGAGAACACAGAAACGCCAGCACGGTTAAATATTAATATCAAATCACTATAATATAATAATTAATTATACTATAATAGTATAAATACCATATCCTCAATCACCATTGGACAACATGAGTGAAATCTCATCTATAGACCCCCTATAGCCTCCCTACTGTTATTTTATTTTACTTCTGCTCTTTTTTTCTGTTGTTGTTTTATTTTACTTTTTTATTAAAAATAAATGCACTGTTGGTTAAGGGCTTGTAAGTAAGCATTTCACTGTAATGTCTGCACCTGTTGTATTCGGCGCATGTGGCCAATAAAATTGGATTTGATTTGATTTGATTTGAAATCTCACATCAGTGCAAAAAGCAGACTGAATCTCACCAGTGCCAGAGATGACTCCAAACACATCCTTGTGCAAACTGTTCTCGAACAAAGTACTGGACCTCGGAGGCGTCATCATCATGGAGTTGCCCAGGAGTGGGTCGTCTCTTCCATTCTGAAAGGAAAATCAACCATTAGTCAAGTCTTTGCAGGTAGGGATTTGAATTGTGGTCGTAGCCAGCCACTAGATGGCATCCTTACGTTGTTGATTTGAGTTGTGGTCGTAGCCAGCCACTAGATAGAAGCCTTACGTTGTTGGAGTGGTTGATGGTGAATGGGGAGACTTCCTTCACGTTGAGCCTGTGGACGTTCTCCTTGAGCAGACCGAACAGGGGCAGGTAGAGGGTGGCCAACCTAGCCTGCTGGCTCTGAAATAGAGATAATCTGATTAAATCAACTTCCTTTTCCCTTATGAGGAATTTCTAAATGACTAGAGAGGAAAGAGACAGGGATGACTGGGCTTACCTTGGAGGTGTAGCGCTCGTCAAAGGTGTGCTTGACCATCAGGTTCTTGAGCACGTGGATGGATATCTGACGGATCTCCCGGAACTCCTGCAAGGCCCCGCCAACCTCCCGCAGCAGCAGCCCAACCAGGAAGTGGTTCTTACAGAAGTCGTCTGTCAGCGAGTAGTCCAACTGGAGGTCTGGGAGGAGGACAAACAGGAGAGAGACGTTAGGAGGATGTCCCAAACCTCAACTATCTGCTATGATGTAAACAACAACACAACCGCAGCACTGAGCTGATGTTTGAACTGCAGCACTGAGTTGATGTTTGAACCAGGTAGCTTAGTGGTTAAGAGCGTTGTTCCAGTAACCGAAAGGTCGCTGGTTCTAATCCCCGAGCCGACTAGGTGAAAAATCTGTCGATGTGCCCTTGAGCAAGGCACTTAACCCTAATTGCTCCTGTAAGTCGCTCTGGATAAGAGCGTCTGCTAAATGACTAAAATGTAAATGTAAATGAACCGCAGCACTGAACTGATGTTTGCCAGAGCCAACATTCGACCTTAAATAGACTAGTTCCATTGGAATGAAGTTCAACTGCACTATAACGCTAATGGAGACTGTAATCAGGAAACCAAAACTATTTCCAACACAAAAACAAAAATCAAAGCAGAGTGGTTGGAAATGATTACTTTCTGAAATATTACAAGACAAAATCATAACGTTCTATAACACAGTTATTTCCAGTTAAAATAGACAACCAAACAGAAGTCAGGGACTAGGCATGCAGTGAATGAACAGATTCCGTTAGCAAGCAGGGTTAAAGATAATACACTGATATGGCTTCACAGAGCATCAGGACAGTATAACTAGTGGTCTATCAGGACAGTATAGCTAGTGGTCTATCAGGACAGTATAACTAGTGGTCTATCAGGACAGTATAACTAGTGGTCTATCAGGACAGTATAGTTAGTGGTCTATCAGGACAGTATAGCTAGTGGTCTATCAGGACAGTATAGCTAGTGGTCTATCAGGACAGTATAGTTAGTGGTCTATCAGGACAGTATATAGTGGTCTATCAGGACAGTATAATAGTGGTCTATCAGGACAGTATAGTTAGTGGTCTATCAGGGACAGTATAACTAGTGGTCCTATCAGGACAGTTAGCTAGGGGATCTATTCAGGACAGTATAGCAGTGTTTCAGGCAGTATAACTATGGTCTATCAGGACAGTATATGCTAGTGTTCTATCAGGACAGTATAGATCGTGGTCTATCAGGGACAGTATAGTTAGTGGTCTAGCAGGACAGATTATAACTAGTGGATCTATCAGGACAGTATAGCTGTGGTTCTTATCAGGTACAGTATGCTAGTGGTCTAATAGACAGTCTAACTACTGATCTATCAGGACAGTATAGCTAGTGGTCATCCGGACAGATAGCTGTGGTCTATCAGGACAGTTTATAGCTTCGTGGTCTATCAGGACAGTATAGCTAGTGGTATCAGGACAGTATAACTAGTGGTCATCAGACAGTATAAACTAGTGGTTCTATCAGCGACGTATAGCTAGTGGTCTATCAGAAAAAGTATAGCTAGTGGTCTATCGACCGATATAGATAGTGGTCTATAGGACAGTATGTTAGTGGTCTATCAGGACAGTATCGTTAGTTGTTATCAGGACAGTTATAGTTAGTGTTCTATCAGGACAGTATTTTCCAGACAGTACAGCTAGTGGTCTATCAGAACAGTATAGCTAGTGGTCTATCAGGACAGATAGCTAGTGGTCTATCAGGACAGTATAGTAGTGGTCTATCGAACAGTATAGCTAGTGGTCTATCAGGACAGTATAGCTAGTGGTCTATCAGGACAGTATAGTTAGTGGTCTATCAGGACAGTTATTAGGGTTATAGGACGTATGAGTGGTCTATCAGGACAGTATAGTTAGTGGTCTATCAGGACAGTATAGCTAGTGGTCTATCAGGACAGTATAACTAGTGGTCTATCAGGACAGTATAGTTAGTGGTCTATCAGGACAGTATAGTTAGTGGTCTATCAGGACAGTATAACTAGTGGTCTATCAGGACAGTATAGTTAGTGGTCTATCAGGACAGTATAGCTAGTGGTCTATCAGGACAGTATAGCTAGTGGTCTATCAGGACAGTATAGCTAGTGGTCTATCAGGACAGTATAGCTAGTGGTCTATCAGGACAGTATAGTTAGTGGTCTATCAGGACAGTATAGTAGTGGTCTATCAGGACAGTATAGTTAGTGGTCTATCAGGACAGTATACTAGTGGTCTATCAGGACAGTATAAGGCTAGTGGGTCTATCAGGACAGTATAGTAGTGGTCTATCAGGACAGTATAGTTAGTGGTCTATCAGGACAGTATAGTTAGTGGTCTATCAGGACAGTATAGTCTAGTGGTCTATCAGGACAGTATAGCTAGTGGTCTATCAGGACAGTATAGTAGTGGTCTATCAGGACAGTATAGTTTGTGGTCTATCAGGACAGTATAGCTAGTGGTCTATCAGGACAGTATAACTAGTGGTCTATCAGGACAGTATAGCTAGTGGTCTATCAGGACAGTATAGTTAGTGGTCTATCAGGACAGTATAGCTAGTGGTCTATCAGGACAGTATAGCTAGTGGTCTATCAGGACAGTATAGTTAGTGGTCTATCAGGACAGTATAGTTAGTGGTCTATCAGGACAGTATAGTTAGTGGTCTATCAGGACAGTATAGTTAGTGGTCTATCAGGACAGTATAGTAGTGGTCTATCAGGACAGTATAGTTAGTGGTCTATCAGGACAGTATAGATAGTGGTCTATCAGGACAGTATAGCTAGTGGTCTATCAGGACAGTATAGTTAGTGGTCTATCAGGACAGTATAGCTAGTGGTCTATCAGGACAGTATAGTTAGTGGTCTATCAGGACAGTATAGTTAGTGGTCTATCAGGACAGTATAGCTAGTGGTCTATCAGGACAGTATAGTTAGTGGTCTATCAGGACAGTATAGTTAGTGGTCTATCAGGACAGTATAGTTAGTGGTCTATCAGGACAGTATAGTTAGTGGTCTATCGGACAGTATAGTTAGTGGTCTATCAGGACAGTATAGTTAGTGGTCTATCAGGACAGTATAGTTAGTGGTCTATCAGGACAGTATAGTTAGTGGTCTATCAGGACAGTATAGTTAGTGGTCTATCAGGACAGTATAGCTAGTGGTCTATCAGGACAGTATAGTTAGTGGTCTATCAGGACAGTAGTATGTCTATCAGGACAGTAGTATGGTCTATCAGGACAGTATAGTTAGTGGTCTATCAGGACAGTATAGCTAGTGGTCTATCAGGACAGTATAGTTAGTGGTCTATCAGGATAGTATAACTACTGATCTATCAGGACAGTATATAGGTAGTGGTCTATCAGAACCTGGACAGTATACAGTGCATTCGGAAAGAATTCAGACCCCTTCACTTCTCCCACATTTTGTTACGTTACAGCCGTATTCTAAAATTGATAAAATAAAATAAAATCCTCATCAATCTACACACAATACCCCATAATGACAAAGCGAAAAACAGGTTTTTTGAAATGTTTGCAAATGTATTCAAACTGGGTCTGAATACTTGAGTTTAATGAGATGCTGCTGGAGAAGCGATTTAAAACACTAAAATGGACAGGATCCTATTACTGTATAACAGCGTTGTGGTTTTAGGTTAGTTCAATAGAAGCACCTCATACAACCCTGGTATACCTTCATACGGTACATTTTATTTAGCTCCTCACCTTGAAATCTCTGTATCCTCCCCTTTCCAAAAGGCATGGGCAGATTCAAGGGGATGTAGTGCTCGTGGTTGCATACGACACGCAGGAAATCAAACTTGAACTCAAACAGAGTCTGAAAACAAGATACATGTACATTAGTGTTACCACTAAGGTATAGTTGTGGAAATATGAATATCATTGTAATAACTGATCATAATCATATCATCATGAGAGCTACCCTGGGGTCTCCAGGCACAAAGCAGTGGATGTAGTTGTTGATCTGCTTGAAGACAAAGCCTCTGTCCATTAGGGTCAAACAGCGCTGTGGACACAGGAAGGAAAGGACATTTCAGTAGTGTACACAACTGTAGATATCATAAACCTCCATTAAAAGACTAATAAATTGATATGATCCGGAACTGACTACAAGGACGACCAAGTGTGCCCGCCTAGCCAATCAGATGGCGCCAGCTGACCTTGATGAAGACAGCCAGGCTGTGGTTGGCGTTCCGGGCTGCGTCCAGGTTGTCCTTGTACTTCTGGGTGATGTGGGGCATCATCATGTTGACCAGGGTCTCCACCGTGTGGTGGAAGCCGGCCGAGAAACGCTGGTTCCTGGACAGCTGAGAAACAGAGACAAGCTGTTACTGTCAGTGCTGTTACTGTCAGTGCTGTTACTGTCAGAGTTGTTACTGTCAGTGCTGTTACTGTCAGTGCTGTTACTGTCAGAGTTGTTACTGTCAGTGCTGTTACTGTCAGTGCTGTTACTGTCAGTGCTGTTACTGTCAGTGCTGTTACTGTCAGAGTTGTTACTGTCAGTGCTGTTACTGTCAGTGCTGATACTGTCAGAGTTGTTACTGTCAGTGCTGTTACTGTCAGTGCTGTTACTGTCAGTGCTGTTACTGTCAGAGTTGTTACTGTCAGTGCTGTTACTGTCAGTGCTGTTACTGTCAGCTGTTACTGTCAGAGTTGTTACTGTCAGTGCTGTTACTGGCAGTGCTGTTACTGTCAGTGCTGTTACTGTCAGTGCTGTTACTGTCAGTGCTGTTACTGTCAGTGCTGTTACTGTCAGTGCTGTTACTGTCAGTGCTGTTACTGTCAGAGTTGTTACTGTCAGTGCTGTTACTGTCAGTGCTGTTACTGTCAGTGCTGTTACTGTCAGTGCTGTTACTGTCAGTGCTGTTATGGTCACAGCTGTTACTTTTACAGCTGTTACTGTCAGTGCTGTTACTGTCAGTGCTGTTAATGTCACAGCTGTTACTGGCAGAGTTGTTACTGTCAGTGCTGTTAATGTCACAGCCTGTTACTGTCAGAGCTACACACAGCCTGTTACTGTCAGATTGATTTTGGGTTAGGATTCCAGAAGTGCCCAGAGGATAACATGAAAGTAATATTACAACACTTCCATTTCCGATGTGGTCCTCGAGGAGCTATAAACTTCCAACAACACATTGTTGTTTTGTTTATGACCCCAGCTCAGCTCTTCCCAGAGAGAGGCCATCCCAGTGAGCCACCACAGAACCACAGTACAGGGGGAACCCAATAATGGAGACTCCCTGTTTCATCTGTTCAGTGTGGCACACTCCTGAGGGAGTGTAATGGTTCGTATAGCAGCCTCCTGATTATACATGGCCATGCCAGGGAGGAAACTCAGGCCTACGGTTGGTTAGGGGAGACTGCTGTGGATAGCATTGAGGTGATGGTTATTTATGAGACATGGCTGTGCTTTATTCTGTGGGAGGACTGTGGCAGCCCACACTGCTGCGCATGTTTGGAGCTCAAATTGACAAGCTGACATTTCTATAATAGAAAAATGAAGACTTGGCTTTAGTGTCACAACAGACTTACCTTGACTTTACTGCTCTCAATCAAGTACTGTGCCATGGACTTCACTAAGGCTTCGAAGAAATACCAGGAGTACTGCAAAACAGAAATATCAGGAGTACTACAAAACAGAAATATCAGGAGTACTACAAAACAGAAATATCAGGAGTACTACAAAACAGAAATATCAGGAGTACTACAAAACAGAAATATCAGGAGTACTACAAAACAGAAATACCAGGAGTACTACAAAACAGAAATACCAGGAGTACTACAAAACAGAAATACCAGGAGTACTATAAAACAGAAATACAGGAGTACTACAAAACAGAAATACAGAAACAAATACAAATCAATGCAAACATGAAACTTGATGTAAATGTCCAGAAAATCCTTCTTCACAGTATTGCTGTGCTGTTCATTACCTTGAGCAACTTGTTGCTGGTGAGGAAGTCTGTGGAAGGCTTTAGAATTGCAGTCATGGCTTTGGCCAGCTCCTCGTGCACTGTTCTCGTGGTAGTGGATGTGTACGGCTCGGTCTTAAACACATACTGAACCAGGGACGGGACAGAAAACAACATCAGCTTTCTACAACTACACAATAGGTGACTGTGCCATCTGATAAAATCGACCGGTGTCCTGCTTACCTTGACATATGATCGTAGGTAGTGCTCCAACCCCTCTTCGTGGCACTGGGCAACAATGTGAATCATGACTCTGATAGGGGAAGAAAGCAACAATAACCAGGTTTCTGGTTTGTGTGTCAATACTCAGGCCTCACAGAGAACCCAATCGAACATGTCTACGGGAGTCTCCCAAGTCGCACCCTATTGCCTATATAGTGCACTACTTTTGACCAGAGCTCTATGGGGGAATAGGGTGCCATTTGGGACGCAGGCTAACACTACTGACCTGGTGACGTTGACGGCCACCTCCTCGCGGGTGGCACTGGTCAGCACACGGAACAGCTGGTTGAGAGTGGTGGGCAGGAAATGTATCATCACATAACTCTCCATAGCATGTAGACTCTGAGGAGGAGAGAGAATAGAGGATTACTAACGCTTCCTTCCCTGAGTCAAAATGCTGATCCTGCAGAATGTCATCCACAAGCACATCAAAAGGTCTATACAGGGTTAACTGCAGTAACAGAACTGACTTTTGTAAAAACGATTCGGAGGGAGAGAACAATAATTAGCTTTAATCTAAGTGCTTGGTGGCGTACAGTAAACATGCACTCCCATGTTGGCTCAGTCTCTGATGAGGGGGTGAAAGGTGCATCTCACCGAGAGGGGCGGAAACCAAACACGCAGTAAGAGGAAACGGAAAAGAAGCACCAGCATAGCAGGACGAGCACGTCAATCACACACACCTACGAGTTAGTTCCTGGAAAGAGGCAGAGCGGCCCGTTGGTGCATCACTGTCTCCGCACGGGTCGCTAACAAAGCCAAGGCCAGCCAAGTCATCTGACAACTTGCCAGTGAAACTCTCTCTGCTAGAACCTGACCTTGGGTGACCATTGTTTGTGTGGACTAGTGTGTTTACATGAGTACCCCAGAGATTAATCTGAATATGTGTCTCTGCTCATGTCAGTGTCCAGAAGGGGGCAATGGAGAGAGCACCTCTGGACTGGAGCAGAGGGTAATGCTTGCATTGTCCCATCAAGGCCTGCGTAAATAAGCACCGATTTATAAACATCCTGGGGAAATCAGACAGCCTGGATGGCAGAGAGAGTGATGGGTGACAGGTGTTGGAGGGAGGGAGGGAGCGAGAGAGAGATTGAGAGAGAGAGAATGGATCCATTAACGTGGTTTCTCTCAAGCCACCCATATTCGACGCACAACAACAGGTGTCATTTCTTTCAGACCCCAGTCAGAGTCAGCCATGTCTCCACACATTCTGCTCATGCCCACGGAGGTGCCACCGTCACCTGACAATGCTTTACCTTCAGATACTTGACCAGCTCTCCTTCTGCCACCTGGGCTGCAGACTCTGTGCTCTGACAGTGGCCAAAGAAATTGTGCAGATGTTGATCCTACAGAGAGAGGAGAAGTAGAGATGTTAGAAAACAAGATGTCTGGAAGAGGCGATGGAGATCCTGTATCGGTTGTGTGACTGAACTCATCTGTGAAATGAAACCAACCTGAGTGTACACAGTGGAGACGAGGTGAGTGGAGACCTTGAACAAAGGCTTGCCTCCATCCACCCATTTGATTTCAGGGTGTTGCTGCTGCACGGGACATTTGAAATATTTTAATAATCATAAATACAAAGTCACCGGTTATCATACTACAAAGATTTTGTATTGGATTAACCTACAGTTTAATCAATTAAAGGCATTTAGTGTACTCTAGGTTGATCCAATGCAATGCAGAGAAGAGAACTAAAGCTCAAGTTGAAACAACCAAACATCAGTCATTAATTCAGCCATATGTTCCCATGCAATTAGCTTAACATTGTTTAGTCACTCTGCTGTGTGCTTTCACCTCCCCTGATTGGCTGAGATAATGACATCTCACACAACCTTGAGGCAGACAACAAGCAATGCACACAGTGCCCCCCTGTAAGGTACAGGCAGTGCACTACTCAGAAAGGGCTCTCTCTTTCTTCCTCTACTTTCTTTCACAGACACTTACAGGTTAGATTTTACTGATAGAAAATGACTGGATAGGTTTAAATCCAGTTTCTTTAAACCTGTTATGTTCTTTCAGATTTGTGGTGATGAAGGAAAGGAGCCACGGAAAAGGGAAAGGAAGCCACAGTGTGTGTGTGTGTTGTGTGTGTTGTGTGTGTGTGTGTGTGTGTGTGTTGTGTGTGTGTCTGAAGGGAGAGTTACCTTGCTGACACCCTCCTGACAGCTGAGGTAGCCAGCGGGCAGGTTGGCAGCCACGGGGACGTGACTCTCATTCATGATCACCCTGCCATCCTTCAGCAGAGGGAGCCATGCGTAACCCACTGGGGACAGACAAGGACAAGAGACAGGACTGGCAGTCAGCTTACAGACAGCGTCACACCCAACAGTAGGAGAATAAGGAAACTGGCAAAAATCGACCAGCATTAAACTGAGGAGGATTCATTTGGATGGCTTGAGACTGGATGTAGGCCTAGGGGGGGATCGTTTGAGATAGGGCCATATGGGTTCTGTATCCTGGATCTGGTGTCTACCTTGTGTCTCCAGCACATCTCTCTTCTTGGTGCTGCCCTTGCTGTTGCTGTCACAGCTGACGTGGAAGAAGGTGAACAGCAGATGGTGCTTCTCGTTGAGCTGAGTGGGCAGCTCTATCTTAAACTGAGGAACATACACGCTCAGGGTTAGCGTACTCAGGGTTAGCGTACTCAGGGTTAGCGTACTCAGGGTTAGCGTACTCAGGGTTAGCGTACTTAGGGTTAGCGTACTCAGGGTTAGCGTACTCAGGGTTAGCGTACTCAGGGTTAGCGTACTCAGGGTTAGCGTACTCAGGGTTGGCGTACATGCTGCCACTGCTTCGTCCACTCACAACTTACTTTAAAGTATTGTTTAAATGTAACTGTGCATTCTGCATAATTCAGTCGGGTCGACTGCGAGCATGAATGAAATAAATCCAATCAAAATCACATCAGTACCTCATCGTAAAACTCTGGGCTGTGCTGGTGATGTAATACTGCAGCGGAGGCATTTTTGGTAAACAGGGGTCCTCCTGGTCGACCATAGATGCACTGTGGGTAATAATAACAATCCCTTTATTTCCCTGAGTGGTATGCTGTTCCTCTACAACCAAATGACACTGTGGCTCTGAGAACTCTGCTAGAAGGAGTCATACGAGTAGTAGCTTACCTTGAGCGAATCAGCCTCCTCCTCGTCCGAGTCCTTGAACTCGATGCAGACAGCTATGTTTCTAGCCTGAGGAGAGAGTAGACAGACAGACAACTAAGCTGACCCACTTGGAGATGACGGAGGGAACACATTTCTGCTAGACACATTTAAAGTAAAGTTGTGAAAGTAATATCATGATATGTAGTAGTCTCTCGTGGCAGATTGTTACATGTAATCAAGTATCTAGCCACATGAGATTTGTGTATCTTTGATCAAACTGAGCGGTTTGTGGCTTTGTGACTATACCTTTGCGAAGGATTTTTGGCTGTCGTACTTCAGGTGCCTGGGGTACACATAGAGGTGATTGTTGTAGATGGTGAAAGGCTGGGAGCACTTGGCTATGTAGGGTACAAACTCCTCAACTTCAAAGAAGATGTTCGTCTTCTCACTGCTATCAAAAGTCTTCACAGGAATGTAGGATGAGCTAACACAATCTACACACAGCGACAGAGACAGGACAGACAATCAGACCAACCTGATGTGAAGAGAAACAGAGTCATCTTTCATGTTCCCAGTGTGAGTTGAATTTGGAGGGCTTACTTGTCAAGTCAGGGGCAACATCATCAATGGTAACGTCTAGGTTTCCTAAGATTACAGGGAGCTTGGCCATCTTCTCTGGCCTAGGGAGGACAAGCACAATAAGCAGTGGTTAATACCTTTGTTATCATCTCCCTAGGAGGACCTGATGGAAAACAGGCAAGCTGCCTGGAAACTACCCTGTGAACAGACAGAACCCAAGAGGAGAAACCAAATATTTATAAAGGTGAGAAAACATCTGCGGTACAGACTTTCATTGTGAAAGAGAGTCTCTTTAGCCAAAAAAAACTGCCTATGGGATTCAGCTGATTAAATACCCACTGTTATAACCCTTTAAGCATTCAGACTAAACAATAATACATTCAATATTCTCAATGTGATGCAATGTACTCCGCCATCTGTAGACAGTTGGAGTTACTAACTTTCTGAAGTCAGCCAGCAGTTTGAACATGTCGTCGTTGGACAGCTTGTTACTGTCCTGTCTGTAGATGGCAGAGAAACGACCACTTTTGTCCAGCGTCCCCGATGCATCTTTGAACAGAGGCCTGCAGGGAAGGAGAGATGAGAATCATACATGGCAGGTCTGTTTCCAGTAGTTCTCTGGACAAAGCTCTGCTGGTCTGGGTTAGATCTCAGAGGGGTTTTCCACTGGTCTGGGATAGATCTCAGCGCTCTTACATTTCCTGCACAAGTTGATCTTCTAACTGGAGCAGAGAATAAAGTATTTCCTATTGGAAAGACACTATATCCTATTGGAAAGACACACTATATCCTATTGGAAAGACACACTATATCCTATTGGAAAGACACTATATCCTATTGGAAAGACACTATATCCTATTGGAAAGACACTATATCCTATTGGAAAGACAATATATCCTATTGGAAAGACACACTATATCCTATTGGAAAGACACACTATATCCTATTGGAAAGACACACTATATCCTATTGAAAAGACACACTATATCCTATTGGAAAGACACACTATATCCTATTGGAAAGACACTATATCCTATTGGAAAGACACACTATATCCTATTGGAAAGACACACTATATCCTATTGGAAAGACACACTATATCCTATTGGAAAGACACACTATATCCTATTGGAAAGACACACTATATCCTATTGGAAATACACACTATATCCTATTGGAAAGACACACTATATCCTATTGGAAAGACACTATATCCTATTGGAAAGACACACTATATCCTATTGGAAAGACACACTATATCCTATTGGAAAGACACTATATCCTATTGGAAAGACACACTATATCCTATTGGAAAGACACACTATATCCTATTGGAAAGACACACTATATCCTATTGGAAAGACACACTATATCCTATTGGAAATACACACTATATCCTATTGGAAATACACACTATATCCTATTGGAAAGACACACTATATCCTATTGGAAAGACACTATATCCTATTGGAAAGACACACTATATCCTATTGGAAAGACACACTATATCCTATTGGAAATACACACTATATCCTATTGGAAAGACACACTATATCATATTGGAAAGACACTATATCCTATTGGAAAGACACTATATCCTATTGGAAAGACACACTATATCCTATTGGAAAGACACACTATATCCTATTGGAAATACACACTATATCCTATTGGAAATACACACTATATCCTATTGGAAATACACACTACATCCTATTGGAAAGACACTATATCCTATTGGAAAGACACTATATCCTATTGGAAAGACACTATATCCTATCAGAAAGACACACTATTTCCTATTGGAAAGACACACTATATCCTATTGGAAATACACACTATATCCTATGACACTTTTATTCTCTTTCCAGACACCATGGTTACTGAGCTGTTTCAACAACACATTGAGGGGTAATACCTTTATCAGCAGGACTGTGGCGGTCATGACATTGAGGGGTAATAACTTTATCAGCAGGACTGTGGCGGTCATGACATTGAGGGGTAATAACTTTATCAGTAGGACTGTGGCGGTCATGACATTGAGGGGTAATAACTTTATCAGCAGGACTGTGGCGGTCATGACATTGAGGGGTAATAACTTTATCAGTAGGACTGTGGCGGTCATGACATTGAGGGGTAATAACTTTATCAGCAGGACTGTGGCGGTCATGACATTCAGGGGTAATAACTTTATCAGTAGGACTGTGGCGGTCATGACATTTTGTCAGCCGGTTATTGTCATGCAAAAGCCTGCCGTTCTCACGGTAATGGACCGTTAATTAACATAAACACATTTAGCATTTCCAGGCCTCCATGTATAGGCTACAAGCTGCTGATCTGAGCCTTTGGAACATCTACATTTAAAAAAGTCTAAGAAATCAATTTAATGTACACCACCACAATAAATCCATTATTTATTTTAGGCAGATCTAAAGAAACATTATGATATGAAGAAAATGTATTTCAGAAGAACAGAATATGAGTTGGCCTACTGTATGTTATCTGGCTATGCTCCATGCCATAGGCTGTAGGCTTGTTCATTTAGCAGACAATATTTGCTTATAAGTCCTGTGCCATTATTTTATATTATATGATTTTATAGTTAGAAGAATATAATTGAACTTAGCTAAATAAAATATAAAGGATATTTTCCTATTCCGGAGTGAGTGCGTATATGAAGTGGCTATGTTGAGTGTAAAAGTGATCATTTGAAACAGGTCCTATACTCTGTATTTAGAGTTATTTGGCAACTTTTGTTGTTAATGATACAAACCTTAGAATGTCTTAGAAATCAAAACATGCAGTACCAGTGAAAAGTTTGGACACACCTACTCATTCCAGGGATTTTCTTTATTTTTTACATTGTAGAATAATAGTGAAGACATCAAAACTATGAAATAACACTTATGGAATCATGTAGTAACCAAAAAAGTGTTAAACAAAAGTATTTTATATTTGAGATTCTTCAAATAGCCACCCTGGCCTTGATGACAGCTTTGCACACTCTTGGCATTCTCTCAACCAGCTTCATGAGGTAGTCACCTGGAATGTATTTCAATTAACAGGTGTGCCTTCTTAAAAGTTAATTTGTGGAATTTCTTTCCTTCTTAATGCGTTTGAGCCAATCAGTTGTGTTGTGACAAGGTAGGGAGGTATACAGAAGATAGCCCTATTTGGTGAAATACCAAGTCCATATTATGGAAAGAACAGCTCAAATAAGCAAGAGAAATGACAGTCCATCATTACTTTAAGACATGAAGGTCAGTGAATACGGAACATTTCAAGAACTTTGAAAGTTTCTTCAAGTGCAGTCGCAAAAACCATCAAGCGCTATGATGAAACTGGCTCTCATGAGGACCGCAACAGGAATGGAAGACCCAGAGTTAACTCCGCTGCAGAGGATAAGTTCATTAGAGTTACCAGCCTCAGAAATTGCAGTCCAAATAAATGCTTCACAGAGTTCAAGTAACAGACACATCTCAACATCAACTGTTCAGAGGGGACTGTGTGAATCAAGCCTTCATGGTCGAATTGCTGCAAAGAAACCACTACTAAAGGACACCAATAATAAGAAGAGACCTGCTTGGGCCAAGAAACACGAGCAATGGACATTAGACCGGTGGAAATTTGTCCTTTGGTCTGGAGTCCAAATTGGAGGTTTTTGGTTCCAACTGCCATGTCTTTGTGAGACGCGGTGTGGGTGAACGGATGATCTCCGCATGTGTATTTCCCACCGTAAAGCATGGAGGAGGTGGTGTTATGGTGTGGGGGTTCTTTGCTGATGACACTGTCTGTGATTTATTTAGAATTCAAGGCACATTTAACCAGCATGGCTATCACAGCATTCTGCAGCGATATGCCATCCCATCTGGTTTGGGCTTAGTGGGAATATCATTTGTTTTTCAACAGGACAATGACCCAACACACCTCCAGGCTGTGTAAGGGCTATTTTACCAAAAAGGAGAGTGATGGAGTGCTGCATCAGATGACCTGGCCTCCACAATCCCCTGACCTCAACCCAATTGAGATGGTTTGGGATGAGTCGGACCGCAGAGTGAACGAAATGCAGCCAACAAGTGCTCAGCATATGTGGGAACTCCTTCAAGACTGTTGGAAAAGCATTCCAGGTGAAGCTGGTTGAGAGAATGCCAAGCGTGTGCAAAGCTGTCATTAAGGCAAAGGGTGGCTATTTGAAGATTCTCAAATATCAAATATACTTGGATTTGTTTAACACTTTTTTGGTTACTACCCTTGAATGAGTAGGTATGTCCAAACATTTGACTGGTAGTGTATTTGGGCTGCATGATACGACTACAGGCTATTGATGATTTGAGAAAGTAGCAAAAAAAAAGCTTTGCGCTCTGTTCTACGCCTCAGGCTGCACAGCTGTTCTCTCATCAAGTGATCCTATTTTCACCCATCAGACTATTCTCAATTTTCTGAATCTTGTCTTTACTAATATGTCAAATTAGTTTTGATTTAGAACGGCCAAATCATCAAATGGGCAGGAACAGGGGCAGGGGAAAAAGACCTGTCGAATGGAGGCCGCTTTCCCGCCGGTTCGTTTTTTTCAGTCATGCAGGGTAGGTAATTCCGGTATCAATAGAGTAGCAGCAGGATCCTCCTTTTTTTTAGTGGCAACCATCAACACTCTGCTTTCACACGGGACTAGATATAGAAATGTCTGGGCATATAAGGACAATTATTTCACTCCACACATCAACCACTGGTTAAGGTGCATGCAGCCTCCCGCTGCGCAAAAGGTGATATTCTGCCTAAACTCTGGATGCCATGGGGCTCTCCAACCCTGTTCCTCCAGCTACCCAGTACTCTGTATGCCATGGGCTCTCCAACCCTGTTCCTGCAGCTACCCAGTACTCTGGATGCCATGGGCTCTCCAACCCTGTTCCTCCAGCTACCCAGTACTCTGTATGCCATGGGCTCTCCAACCCTGTTCCTCCAGCTACCCAGTACTCTGTATGCCATGGGCTCTCCAACCCTGTTCCTGCAGCTACCCAGTACTCTGTATGCCATGGGCTCTCCAACCCTGTTCCTGCAGCTACCCAGTACTCTGTATGCCATGGGGCTCTCCAACCCTGTTCCTCCAGCTACCCAGTACTCTGTATGCCATGGGCTCTCCAACCCTGTTCCTGCAGCTACCCAGTACTCTGTATGCCATGGGCTCTCCAACCCTGTTCCTGCAGCTAACCAGTGCTTAATTTGGGAAACCAAGTGATATCGGTTCGGGAACATCAATAGTAACATATTTTTCACAACAAAATATATTTAATTAAACTGCTGATAGCTCCTCTCTCTGCGAGCTCGAGAAAGGAATGAAGGAGAGAGAGGAGGAGATAAAAACACACGGTGGTGAGATATTCTGTAGCTAAAGGGAATGTGTCAGCCTATGAAAAAAAATAAGGAATCCCTATTACTAGGCTATTCAAAATCAAATACTGTCACAAGCTGATGTGGATGCGGTGTTGGAGTCAGGCGCAGGACACAGAAGCTTAGTCGAAACGACTTTAATTGTCACAAAGACAATAACAAAAATAACGGGCCTCAAACACAGGAGGCGAGCGATTACGCAAACAGTGCGTAAAAACACTAACAACTAGAGCACAATAAAGATACACCAACGGACAGGCGGACAACAACACACAACTGCAAACAAAACCAAAGGAAACTTATAGGTGACCTAATCAATACATAAGACGAAACAGGTGCACCAACAAGACAAAACCAAACAAACATAGAGAACATCAAGCGGTAGCAGCTAGTACTCCGGGGACGACGAACGCCGAAGCCTGCCCGAACAAGGAGGAGGAGCAGTCTCGGCGGAATTCGTGACAGTACCCCCCCCTTGACGCGCGGCCCCAGCCGTGCGCCAACCCCGGCCTCGGGGACGGCCAGGAGGACGTGGAGCAGGGCGCGTAGGATGACTACGGTGGAACTCAGTCAGGAGGGATGGATCTAAACTGTCCCTCCTAGGCACCCAGCACCGTTCCTCCGGACTGTACCCATCCCACTCCACGAGATATTGTAGACCCCCCATCCGACGTCTCGAATCCACGATGGACCGGACTGAGTACGCCGGAGCCCCCTCAATGTCCAGTGGGGGCGGAGGGGTCTCTCTTATCTCACTGTCCTGGAGTGGACCAGCTACCACCGGCCTGAGGAGAGACACATGGAACGAGAGGTTAATGTGATTGTCATTAGGCAGTTGCAACTTGTGCAGCGTTCCACGTCTCCTCCGAGCGCCGAAACCACTCATCCACCGCAGGAGCCTCGATCTGGCTCTGATGCCATGGTGCCAGAACCGGCTGATACCCTAACACGCACTGGAAAGGGGTCAGGTTAGTAGAGGAGTGGCGAAGAGAGTTCTGAGCCATCTCTGCCCAGGGGATATACCCCGACCACTCCTCCTGCCGGCCCTGGCAATATGATCTCAGAAACCTACCCACATCCTTGTTCACTCTCTCCACCTGCCCATTACTCTCAAGGTGGAAACCCGAGGTAAGGCTAACCGAGGCCCCCAAGCGTTCCATGAACGCCCTCCAGACTCTAGAGGTGAATTGGGGACCCCGATCAGACACTATATCCTCGGGAACCCCGTAGTGCCGGAAGACGTGGGTGAACAAAGCCTCAGCGGTCTATAGGGCAGTAGGGAGACCCGGCATTGGGATGAGACGACAGGCCTTAGAGAACCGATCCACAACGACCAGAATAGTGGTATTCCCCTGAGAGGGGGGAAGGTCCGTGACAAAGTCCACCGAGAGGTGAGACCACGGCCGTTGTGGAACGGGCAGGGGTTGTAACTTCCCCCTGGGCAGGTGTCTAGGCGCCTTACACTGAGCGCACACCTAGCAGGAGGAGACATAAACCCTCACGTCCCTAGCCAATGTTGGCCACCAGTACTTAACTCTATGGCAGTGCACTGTCCGGCCAATACCTGGATGTCCAGAGGAGGGTGACGTATGAGCCCAATAAATGAGACGATCACGGACCTCGAGCGGCACGTACGTCCGACCCACTGGACACTCTGGGGGAGTAGGGTCGGTGCGTAACGCCCGCTCAATTTCCGCATCGACCTCCCATACCACCGGTGCCACCAGACAAGACTCCGGCAGTATGGGAGTGGGCTCAACGGACCTCTCCTCTGTGTCATACCGCCGGGACAGGGCGTCTGCCTTACCGTTCTGGGACCCTGGGATGTAAGTGATCTTAAAAACGAACCGGGTCAGAAACATGTTCCACCTAGCCTGACGAGGGTTCAATCTCCTAGCTGCCCGGATGTACTCCAGGTTACAATGGTCAGTCAGAATGAGAAAAGGGTGTTGAGCCCCCTCAAGCCAATGCCTCCACACCTTTAGGGCTTGAACCACAGCTAACAGCTCCCTGTCCCCTACGTCATAATTACGTTCCGCCGGACTGAGCTTTTTAGAATAAAAAGCGCAGGGACGGAGCTTAGGAGGCGTGCCGGAGCGTTGCGACAGTACTGCCCCAATACCGGCTTCTGACGCGTCCACCTCTACCTGGAACGCTAAAGCGGGGTCCGGGTGCGCCAGCACCGGAGCCGAAGTGAACAGGTCCTTCAGTTTACTAAACGCCCTGTCCGCTTCAGCTGACCACTGCAAACGCACTGGGCCCCCCTTCAGCAGGGAAGTAATGGGAGCTGCTACCTGTCCAAAACCCCGGATAAACCTCCGGTAGTAATTGGCAAAACCCAAAAACTGCTGCACCTCTTTAACAGTGGTTGGGGTTTGCCAGTTACGCACGGCTGACACAAGGTCAATCTCCATCTTCACCCCTGACGCGGACAACCGATGACCCAAGAAGGAGATGGACTCCTGGAAAAACAGACATTTCTCTGCCTTGACATACAGCCTACCCAACACTCGGCGCACCAGGGCTACATGCTCGGCTCGTGTAGAAGAGTACACTAGGATGTCGTCAATGTACACTACCACACCCTGCCCATGCAGATCCCGGAAGATCTCGTCCACAAATGATTGGAAGACTGAAGGAGCATTCATTAACCCGTATGGCATGACAAGATACTCATAATGACCAGAGGTGGTACTAAATGCCGTCTTCCATTCATCTCCCTCCCTAATGTGCACCAAGTTATAGGCGCTCCTGAGATCCAGTTTTGTGAAGAAACGCGCTCCGTGCAATGATTCAGTCATACTCGCAATCAGAGGAAGAGGGTAACTGTATTTTACAGTGATCTGATTGAGACTACGGTAATCAATACACGGGCGCAACCCTCCATCCTTCTTCTTCACAAAAAAGAAACTCGAGGACGCAGGGGAAGTGGAGGACCGTATGTATCCTTGTCTCAGGGACTCAGCTATGTATGTCTCCATAGCCGCCGTCTCCTCTTGAGACAGAGGATACACATGGCTCCGCGGGAGTGCCGCACCTGTCTGGAGGTTTATCGCACAATCTCCCTGTCTATGAGGTGGCAATCGCGTCGCCCTCGTCTTGCTGAACACGAGTGCTAAATCCTCATACTCAGGGGGAATGTGCATTGCGGGCACTTGGTTCAGACTCTCCACCGTGGTCGCCCCAACGGAAACACCTAAACATCGCCCAACACACTGGTCAGACCATTCCTTGAGAGCCCTCTGTTGCCACGAAATGGTGGGGTCATGGGTGATTAACCAAGGAAGCCCCAGCACCACGGGATACGCAGGAGAGTCAATCAGGTACAACTGAATGATCTCCTCATGACCCCCCTGCGTCTTCATCTTTAGTGGCGCTGTGACCTCCCTAATCAACCCAGATCCCAACGGGCGGCTATCTAGGGCATGGACAGGGAAGGGTGCATCAACGGGGAGGAGGGGAATCCCTAACTTAGTACAACATTTCTGATCAATAAAATTCCCAGCTGCGCCTGAATCGACTAGCGCCTTATGCTGAGAATGAGATGCAACCTGAGGAAATACCACAGGTATACACAAGTGAACAACAGAGATCTCTGGGTGAGTGGGGCGCCTACTCACCTGAAATGACTCCCCAGTGCGCGACCTCTTTCCCCGATTCCCTGGAGACCCTCCCCAGCACCTAGCCGCAGTGTGTCCTCCACGGCCACAGTTGGTGCAGGGGACGGCCCCCCTCGGGTTCTCTCTCCTTCTCTCTCTAGCGCCAGCACCCCCGAGCTCCATAGGGCTCGGCTCGGAGGTGCTGGGGGATGGAATGGACGGCCCCAACTCGGGACGTCCGCGGGTGGCCAGCAGGGTATCCAGACGGATGGACATGTCCACCAGCTGGTCGAAGGACAGATTGGTGTCCCTGCAGGCCAGCTCTCGACGAACGTCCTCACGCAGGCTACACCGATAGTGGTCGATGAGGGCCCTCTCATTCCACCCCGCATCCGCCGCTAGAGTCCGGAAATCCAGGGCGAACTCCTGTGCGCTCCTCTTCCCCTGTCGGAGGTGGAACAGACGCTCCCCCGCCGCTTTACCCTCAGGAGGGTGATCGAATACAGCCCTGAAGTGGCGGGAGAACTCTGCGTAGCTGATGGTGGCGGCGTCTATTCCCCTCCATTCGGCGTTGGCCCACTCCAACGCCTTGCCGGAGAGACAGGAGATGAGGGCGGAAACGCTCTCGTATCCCGAGGGCGCCGGATGTATGGTGGCCAGGTAGAGTTCCACCTGAAGGAGGAACCCCTGACACCCGGCTGCGGTGCCATCATACGCCCTCGGGAGCGAGAGCCGAATCCCACTGGATTCCGGAGCTGGTCTGGTGGGGCTGGCCGATGGTGGTGGTAATGTAGGAGGAGGTGTGGGCACGCCTCCCCTTTCCCATCGGCGCAGGGTGTTCATCACCTCCTGCATGGCGGAGCCGAGTTGCTGGATCCTGGCGTCCTGGCAGCTGACCCGATCCTCCAGCGACTCGGTCGCCGCCGCTGCTCCTGCTGACTCCATAGTATGGTGTGTTGTTCTGTCACAAGCTGATGTGGATGCGGTGTTGGAGTCAGGCGCAGGACACAGAAGCTTAGTCGAAACAACTTTAATTGTTACAAAGACAATAACAAAAATAACGGGCCTCAAACACAGGAGGCGAGCGATTACGCAAACAGTGCGTAAAAACACTAACTACTAGAGCACAATAAAGATACACCAACGGACAGGCGGACAACAACACACAACTGCAAACAAAACCAAAGGAAACTTATAGGTGACATAATCAATACATAAGACGAAACAGGTGCACCAACAAGACAAAACCAAACAAACATAGAGAACATCAAGCGGTAGCAGCTAGTACTCCGGGGACGACGAACGCCGAAGCCTGCCCGAACAAGGAGGAGGAGCAGTCTCGGCGGAATTCGTGACAAATACAAAATAACTATAATTGTAGGCTAACTCTGTAGTTTGGTTCATTAGGCTGACCCCCACTCTTCGCTTGAAGTTATTGAGGGATGATGAGGTCTTGGCAATGTGAAGATATTCTGCCAAAACTCTGTATGCCATGGGCTCTCCAACCATGTTCCTGCGTTTACCCAGTGCTTAATTTGGGAAACCTAGTGAAATCTGATCGGGAACAGTGATAGTAACATGTTTTCACAACAAAACATATTTAATTAAACTGAAAATGCAAGGTGGTGAGATATTCTGTAGCTAAAGGTAATGTGTCAGCCTATTAATTATGAAAATGTAAAATAATGCCCTATTCCTAGACTATTCAAAATCAAATACAAATTCAGTATAATTGTAGGCTTAGCCGCCCTGCACAATCAATGAACCAACAGCATCGCCTAGGCCTATACGTTCTCTCCCAGACTCGTGGATAGAACATTTGGAGCGTAGCATAAGGTAACCAGTCCATCCAGTATGAATATTAATACAGTCCACACTCAAAGGAGATTACTAGAATTTGTTTAATTTTGGAGTATAGGCTAGACCAATTATGTACCAAAGACATCTTAAATCAGTTTTTTAAATGTTTTTCTGCCATGCGTGTTATCGGTAGGCTATATACTGTATAACGGCACAATCATTATTTTAATACCGTTTTTTTTTGGGGGGGGGGGGGGCTCAGGCTCATATATAGGTCTATGCATATGCATAAACTCTAATATGCATATGCATGTTTTTTAATTAATCATCACCTCAGAAAGCGCTGTCCGTTTCCTTATTAGGCTTTGAAACAACATCCACAATGACCGTGTTTTCCACTCAGTTTCAACCTGCTGTTGATTTTCTTTCTATTAATTTATAAAACCAAGTGAGTTTTAAAAGCACGATACTGTTTTTGATGATAAGTGTTTGATGTGATTTTCAATTGTATTTGCATTGATGTCAGATTGGTTAGAGGGACAATAGAGCCCTGAGTACCAGGCCATTAGGACCTGATGGTTAGAGGGACAATAGAGCCCTGAGTACCAGGCCATTAGGACCTGATGGTTAGAGGGACAATAGAGCCCTGAGTACCAGGCCATTAGGACCTGATGGTTAGAGGGACAATAGAGCCCTGAGTACCAGCCCATTAGGACCTGATGGTCGTTAGCCAGTTGGGTACTACCAACGCTTGTCCAGAGTGCATAAGAGGACATTACCGTGACTCAACGGTCATGTGGAATTTTACTGCGGTCATGACTCATGACTGCCGGTGTGGCGGTAATATGGTCACCACAACAGCCCTATTTACCAGTGTCAAAAACGGAAATTCACTACCTTTATTTTGCCTGGAAATAAACTTGATGGCTTTATCACATTTTACAAATGTATTTCATTTAGATATGTTGTACTCAAAGTGATGCCATATTAAGCAGACCTACTATCAAGTTCCTCTAATAATGAAAATATATTCCAAATGGTAAAGCATCTTTCAATAACCTCTTACTATAAACCTCACTTCAGTTCAGGTTAGTAACCGTCAAGTACCTGGCAGCCCATGCAAAAGGCATCCTGTACTGGCCCAACCGGCTGCAAGCCAATTTGGCATTTTTCAGGACCTTCTGTGCCACCTGGTGGGAGAAAGGAACAGAGTATGAGTGGTCCATTCTGGTCTGACAATACAGACAGGGGTGATGGTCAGCACTCCAGGATCCACTATATCCTATTGAGTTAGCTCTGAGGCCTGCCAAGCTACAAACACACACACACACACACACACACACACACTAACACAAACACACACCCTGAAAATCGTCCCTAATGCATTTCAGATCTCCTCTCTTGAATCCCATTATTGCTCCGTGTAACAGAACAGAACCAGATTTGTAAAACCAATGCTCGTGGAGTGTTGTTGTAACCAGAGAGCACTTATGATGTGGACGATTTATAATTTATCATGTGGGATAATAATCTAATTGATTGTTGTGTTTTCTGATGCCGAGGCCTGGTACAGAGCGTACCTTGGTGGAGTCTGAGCTCTTCATGTAGGGCTCAGCACAGTGTGTGATTCCTCCCTGGAGGACCTTCTCGATGCGAGCTACCAGGAAGATATCTGGGTGTGGACACGTTACAGAGAACACTCCCTGTGGCGAGACAAATCCCAGTGAGTGAACAGAGTATAAGTGAAACTTGACAACCTTTATTGTCCATCCAATTTTTTAAAAAGGTTATTCGGTTTATTGGCAGTACATGGCGGTCAGACAAAAACATCCCCACACCATTAAAAACATTTAATATGCAGACTGTAATCTGTACAGGTAGCTAAATTAAAGTATATCAATCACATTGTCATATTGAAAGAGATAAATATCTCAAAATATTCTATAGAGATTAATATCATCTCTTCACCTGTCTGGGGTACTGCATGGCACTCTCAGGCAGGCCGTGGATCCCCCTCTGCGCCCCCAGCAAGGCATCCCCACCACCGTTCATGTACTGGCTGCTGGGGTCGGCCACCAGCTGTCTGACGGACGGGTGGTTCAGGTCCACATGGAAGTCAGACGAGATCTTCCTACTGTTCTGGATGTCTAACAGCGACAGGGTCACATAGAATGGCTCCACCTGGAAACGAAGCAACAGGAAACGTGTCCAGTTGGTGTAGTGAACACTGTGATGTCACAGTGACTCAGAAGGTTCATGAGTTGGACAAGGGACTGACCGAGTGCCTTTCAGTGTATCTCTGTTAGGTCTGTATAACTGAACAGATTGACGTGTTCTCTCGGTAATGGACAGGCTGCTGTGCCTGCCCTCCATTAGACAGTGCCTTCCGCCATTACTGTGGCTCTCGGCTGGTTGCTAACACCAGAGCCCCCACACGACAAAGACAAACAGCAGAGATGACGTACACCAGAGATCCCTCCACCCCTCTCTTTCTCTCTCACCCATTCTCCAGAGCAGATACTTGTTATAAAACAATAGTATGACTGTACACATTGAGCACTGACTCATGGAGAACAAGGGGAAGGAGATCTGGCTTACATTTGTTGTTGGTCCCTCCTCGTTGTCCGCTACACAGCTTTGCAGGTTGAAGGCCAGGTCATTGCAATTGACCAAAATGCGCTTGCCAAACTTTTCTTCATATTGCTTTATATCCGGCTCAATTCCTGAAAAGTCAAGTTTCTAAAGAGACAAAAAGAGCGGTTAGGTTTATTTTAATCATATAATTTGGAGCTGGGGGATTGTCAAATGTCTTTCTGAAAACTCGATAGTTACTAACCTGTGTGTCCGGGTCCAAGGTGAACAGTTTCAATCTGGCCTCGTTCCTCATTTTAGATTCAATATCTCTTGCACTCTGAGGACAAGACATTTCTTTTCGAATAAATAACCAGACCACAACCTTACTAAGCAAAATATTTTCAGATTGAACTGCTTTTATCATTTGAACATTTCTCTTGATTTGAGTCCATCTGGAGTTGAGGTTTCCTATAACGTACTGATCAGGAGAGAGCAGACAGACAGACTCAATGGTAAAGTCAGGTGGTGCCATCACCACAGCAAAGCCTGTCAAAGCACTCTGTCGGACGTCTGCTTTGCTAGTTAACTGCTGCCATCAGTTTCCATGCACATACAGTATGGCTTATCTATAGGCTCCTCGGGGCTCCTAGGAGACAGTCAGATGTCCAGCTCAGAGCCCAGGCTGTTACTGGAAACCCAGCCGTTGGAGTCTGCCCAAGTACTGAGTGCTTCAGCAAATGGTCATGGACATCTCTTACTGTAGCTTTGCACTATGGGAAAGAACCAGATATTGGTTCCTCTCCTGCTTTTGGTCGCTTTTCAAACAGCAGGAGCTGTTATTTGTATCTGTCAGGTCTTCATTATGTTCCCCTTAACCTTACCATCCCTCCCTTCATTGGAGTAAACTAATGAACAACAACACTTAGGCTTCTACTTCCAGCTTATACATACCACAGTTGAAGTCGGAAGTTTACATACACCTTAGCCAAATACATTTAAACTCAGTTTTTCACAATTCCTGACATTTAATTCTAGTCAAAATTCCCTGTTTTAGGTCAGTTAGGATCACCACTTTATTTTAAGAATGTGAAATGTCAGAATAATAGTAGAGATAATGATTTATTTAAGCTTTTATGTCTTTCATCACATTCCCAGTGGGTCAGAAGTTTACATACACTCAATTAGTATTTGGTAGCATTGCCTTTAAATTCTTTAACTTGGGTCAAATGTTTCGGGTAGCCTTCCACAAGCTGAATTTTGGCCCATTCCTCCTGACAGAGCTGGTGTAACTGAGTCAGGTTTGTAGGCCTCCTTGCTCGCACACGCTTTTTCAGTTCTGCCCACACATTTTCTATAGGATTGAGGTCAGGGCTTTGTGATGGCCACTCCAATACCTTGACTTTGTTGTCCTTAAGCCATTTTGCCACAACTTTGGAATTATGCTTGGGGTCATTGTCCATTTGGAAGACCCATTTGCAACCAAGCTTTAATGTCCTGACTGATGTCTTGAGATGTTGCTTCAATATATCCACATCAATTTCCTTCCTCATGATGCCATCTATTTTGTGAAGTGCACCAGTCCCTCCTGCAGCAAAGCACCCCCACAGCATGATGCTGCCACCCCCGTGCTTCACGGTTGGGATGGTGTTCTTCGGCTTGCAAGGTACCCCCTTTTTCCTCCAAACATAACGATGGTCATTATGGCCAAACAGTTCTATTTTTGTTTTATCAGACCAGAGGACATTTCTCCAAAAAGTAAGATCTTTGTCCCCATGTGCAGTTGCAAACCATAGTCTGGCTTTTTAATGGCGGTTTTGGAGCAGTGGCTTCTTCCTTGCTGAGCGGCCTTTCAGGTTATGTCGATATAGGACTCGTTTTACTGTGGATATAGATACTTTTGTACCAGTTTTTTTCCAGCATCTTCACAAGCTCCTTTGCTGTTGTTCTGGGATTGATTTTCACTTTTCGCACCAAAGTACGTTCATCTCTAGGAGACAGAACGCGTCTCCTTCCTGAGCGGTATGACGGCTGCGTGGTCCCATGGTGTTTATACTTGCATACTATTGTTTGTACAGATGAACGTGGTACCTTCAGGCGTTTGGAAATTGCTCCCAAGGATGAACCAGACTTCTGGAGATCTACAATTATTTTTCTGAGGTCTTGGCTGATTTCTTTTGATTTTCCCATGATGTCAAGCAAAGAGGCACTGAGTTTGAAGGTAGGCCTTGAAATACATCCACAGGTACACCTCCAATTGAATCAAATGATGTTAATTAGCCTATCAGAAGCTTCTAAAGCCATGACATCATTTTCTGGAATTTTCCAAGCTGTTTAAAAGGCACAGTCAACTTAGTGTATGTAACCTTCTGACCCACTGGAATTGTGATACAGTGAATTATAAGTGAAATAATCTGTCTGTAAACAATTGTTGGAAAAATTACTTGTGTCATGCACAAAGTAGATGTCCTAACCGACTTGCCAAAACTATAGTTTGTTAACAAGACATTTGTGGAGTGGCTGAAAAACGAGTTTTAATGACTCCAACCTAAGTGTATGTAAACTTCCGACATCAACTGTATATACATTTTATGGACACAATCTATTTTACAATAGTTATCTATTGTTTGTTTTTAATCCCATTCCTTAGCTACCCTCAACCCCTCCCATCTATCTCTGAAGACCATCCAGTTTGATTTCTATTGGCCATATATGGTCCTCTGTAGCACAATTGGTAGAGCATGGCGCTTGTAACACCAGGGTAGTGGGTTCGATCCCCGGGACCACCCATATGTAAAAATGTATGCACACATGACTGTAAGTCGCTTTGGATAAAAGCGTCTGCTAAATGGGATACTATTATATTATTATATTTCTAACTGTGCTGTTTCAAAAAAGTTCTGAACCTATATACATTTTACGGACACACTATATTTTACATTAGTTATCTTGTTGTTTTTAGTCCCACCCTTCAGCTCCACTCAACCCCTCCCATCTATCTCTTTTTTATTTTATTTGCCATATATTTGTCAACTGTACTGTGATGTTTCACAAAAGTTCTGAACCTTTCTATTCTCATAGTTCTACAGATTGTAAATTAAAGATATATATTTTTGCTAAAAGTATTATTATATTATTGATCGATTGACTATGACTTTTCAAATCCCCCAGCAGTGCTATTTGCAGAGTTAGCTCCAGGTAAATGTTGCAATCCTTCAGCCATTCCTGGACCTGCGACCAAAAACAAGCTACATATGGACAGTACCAAAACAAATGATCTAATGATTCTGTCTCTTCGCAGAAAAATCTGCAGAGCTGGGATGGTTGATTCCCCCATATACTGTATATAACATTCTATTGTTTGCAAGTATTTTCTATAATAATTTAAATTAAAAAATGCAAAGTTTTGAATCCGCCGTCGTTTTGCGTATCAGTTCATAAACCATGTGCCATGGAATCGGTACATCAAAAATCTCTTCCCAACTATTTTGCAATTAATATGGCACAGCTGTCATTTTTTGGTCCTTAAATGAAACTGGCATACTTTTTTATTTATCACAATGTCCTTTAACCAATTTTGGTCTTTAATGCAGGGCCGACAGACAAGTTCCTTACTTTCTCCCCCTTCCACTTGCCTCTTCCATTTTTGCGGTAATGCTGCAATTAGTTTTTTTAATCAATTAGTATATTTGAGTTTAACAATAATATTTGTTCTATTATTTGTTCTGTCTTTTCTGGTTGATTAAACTGAAATTGCAACCTATGGCTTGTTTTAAAAATAACACTGTTTTGGAGATGATTTCATTTTCAAATAACCGAAAGCGAGAGGTTCTAAGGTGAGACTAATCTGCTAGAGAACCAGTTCGGATTTAAGCATACCTTTTGTATGACTGAAGCCTTTAGTGAGAGGTCAAATGCTTTAATATTTAATAATTTCTGCCCTCCGTATTCATATTCATGATATAAATAGGCCCGTTAAATTTCGTCTGGCTTGCCGTTCCAAATAAAATTGAATATTTTTGGATCATATAATTTTTTTTAAAAGGTCGCTAGGTGTAGGCAAGGCCATAAGCAAACAGGTAAACTGGGATATGACGAAAGAGTTAATCAGGGGGGATTTTTCAACGAACAGACAGGTATTTTCCTTTCCATGGTAGCAAGATCTTATCTATTTTTGCTCTGTCAGGTCTTACTAGAGATAGAACATAATGCTTAAAATGGAGGCGCAAACACATCAGTTGAAGCTAATTAAAGCCATAGGTTTGGGGAGGAGGCTGACTGGCTGGTGCTCTCAAACCCACATGGGAAATGATTCATGGGCAACCTTTT